TTAGTTTAGAACAATTTAGAGTGTTGAAATATATTTTTAAAAATTCATTCCAAGTCACGAATTCCAAAGCTTGTAGAATACTCACTGGGATAGGCGTTCATAGTGAAGACAATATATTGGGGCCAAGCTGTGATGGCCATCAAACACGAACGTAAAATTTGACATATTGAACAACAACTTCAGGAACATAAGTGTCCTGAATTGTGTCTCAAGTTCTGAGTGTTTGCTTGCATGTACAGTTAGAAAATGATTTGATGGTGGTAGTGAACTGCACTGAGTGCGGGAGTTGTAGCACGGCTGGCATGTATGCATGTATGTGTAGGGACGTGTATGTATAGTGACAACCAAAACAGTAGCAGTCTTCAACAGGAGGCGTCTTTATTTCTTCAGGTACGAGACAGGTTTTCAAAGACTCCCCTTCTCTCGTCCCTTTCTCGAAGATTCCTTGACCCACTGTTCCTCCACCAAATCGCCCTTCCAGTTTCCCGAACCGATCCAAACCGACCTCCCTGTCAATCACCCTCCCTTTCTCGCCCTATCCATGTTGTATGTCTACCTTCATTCCCTCTCAATTCCCTGCCTCGAATCAATCCCCTTTTAGGCCCGTTAGCTACCAATCAGAGGGGCTTGTTTCTACTCCCTGACTCTCCGTGTCACGCCATGTCCACCACGTCAGGTGAGTTATCGTCGGCAGTGATACAACCTCCACGTGGTTCTTTCAGTAAAGTCACGTAGAATGGAAATAATAAAATAATAAAAATAAAACATAATAAAATAATTCTCACGACGTTTCGGCCACAACGCAAGCAGCCGTCCTCGGGTGAAGAACAGGTCTGTCGAGAAGACAGACTCTCCGTCTGTCGAGAAGACAGACCTGTTCTTCACCTGAGGACGGCTGCTTGCGTTGTGGCCGAAACGTCGTGAGAATTATTTTATTATGTTTTATTTTTATTATTTTACAACCTCCACGTATGCGTGTTCACCTTCTTTCGCACCGTACGGGCATGGATCGTGTTGCAATGGAATGGGGACCCTGGTCCAGTTTCTTGACTTTTCATTATTCCTGGGGGCCCGAGGGGGGGGGGGGGAGTGGGCTGGCGCAGTTGCACCGCCTGCACACTCGATCGCTGCCGCCACCGGTTCAATTTTCCACTGCCACCTCAGGTTACGGGGTGCAATCGCGCCCGCAGCACGACGAGCAGCGCCTCGTAAACTTTGATCAAGTCGGGGACCACCTGACCTTTGCAGGGACGTCACTCGGGGGTTCACGCGAGGACAACGTTTACCCCATGATCACTCTGCCGCTGAATGGACGCCTTCGAGACTTCATTATTTGTTCATCGTCAATAATGTTTCATTCCGCCGCTGCAATGAAGGCCTCCCAAAGCCGTTGCCATTTCTCATGATTCTGCGATGTAGTAATAATCATCCGTCTACTACCTCCACGTGAACACATTTTTATATTTCCACCTCCATATTTTCGAACGCATTCCGTTCCCTGCCAGCCACTCCATCGTGATTCTTTACCATGTGCCATCATTCCTTCTCGTGACAAGGGCTTCCCAAGCTCAGCTTTTTTTTTATTATTCCTTAATTTATTAGTCTTTTTGGCTTTAAAAAACACGATTAAAGCGGCAACCCTGACAAAATACCACTTTGCTGCGCCCGGGTAAACAATGTGGGTCTGAATATATGAAGCCCTTCGACACTTTACGGCTGTGTAATTCATGAGATTGTGTCAGTTTAGAAATGTTGGCACTGGCTCGTGGAATCTTTTAAAGTTATGAAAGATATAGATTAAGTTCGGGTTATGCTGAGACAATAACAAAAAAAGACCCTGCAGGTTGTGTCATAAAATACACGTGTGAATGCCGGAGGAATTTGGAATTGTGCTGAATAGGAAAATCCCGTGTGTGAATTTCTTTAAGCTGCCCTTAATTGTCACAAAATGTAATAATTTGTGTCATTGTGGAGAATGTAAGTAATCATACAGTTAAGCAGCCAATATATCTGTCGCTCCACGTAATAAATAACATAATTTTGACACAAACCTCCGGCCTTACGGCCTTTTGGGAGTGCATAATTTCAGCAGCATTGATCCATGGCTGCTGAACGTAAGTTTGAGTGCAATGTTTGTCAAAAAAACGATCCAGGGTTTGCTTTATTGGATTCAAGTTGCTGAAATAAAGCACTTCCAGAAGGCCATGGGACTGTTGATTTGTGAAACAAAAATACTGTGTTTGATGTGGAGCGACAGATACAAATGAAAGAGACATTGCTTCCATATTTTGCCCTTGGTTTTAGTGTCTCAAGCAAATGTCGCAGGGCTATAGTGGCACAGTGATTAACACGCTCATGGTGACCTGAGTTCGCTTCCTGGTAATGCCCTAACGTCGGTGGCAAGTGGCATCTAAACCCCTTCACCGAGCCGTACCGACCAGCGTAGTGAAGTATGGTCAAACAAACCCTACGATCAACATAAAGTAGGGATACCTTCATTCAGCAAGGGCATTAACAAAGGGTTGCACGTTATTTATTGGGGTGCCACGGTGGTGAGATGTTATCTATCTCGCCCGGTATACAGGTTATGGGTTCGACCCCACCCCTGACGCCTGTGTGTTTGTAGTTTGCGTGTCTCTCTCCCCATGGTCGCGTTGATTTTTCTCCGAGTCCTCCGGTTTTTCCCCCCACATTTAGAATCAACATCACGCATTTAGAGGATTTGGCTGCAATCAATTTCCATAAGATAAGCCACTTCATTGAGCTATCATTTGTGGCCAGGTCGCTTCTGAAAAAACAGCTATATAGCTCAGTGGGCCTTAGCCTGGTAAAATTAAAAACGTTTATTTTTATGTTTACTGTTAGATAATAAACTGTTCTTTTAACTCGTGGGTCTTGAGTTACATGAGATCACAGTCGACGTCACCCTTCTCCCCTTTACATTTTCTACAATGCTGGACTAATAAAAGCCACAGTGAACAAGCAGAGAAGCCAGCACAACAAACACCAGCTGTGTGATATGATCAATAAATATTAAACACTTTTTTTTTAAACCAGCAATGTGCTGGTATGTACAAAATGTGTATGCACAAGTAGTCTATTCTATCAACACACTTGCTAAATGCAGGCCCCTACCATGCGGGTACTGGGGATGAATTGACCGTACTTCATTTTGCTGGCAAATGCGGGAACACAGATGCTGGAGTGTAGCGCAACACATCGGTGGCTTTTGTGGCGCTGCAGCAGCCAAGAGGGCTTTATCCAGCACCGCTGGTCTAAAATGAGAGGGCTTTATCCTTGCAGGGGATTACGAAACGGCTGTAGAAATTATAATATTAATAAAATGAAAGAGCAAAAGTGAGGAAAGGCAAAGGAGCACTTAAACCAGGAATGTTGATCTCCTTTCTGCCATGTAAATATTCGGTTTGGTGATGCCACTTTAAATGTACAAACTCACCAGTTTAACACGTAGTCTTTTATGAGCAATCCACATTTTTTTTTATAGCTCACCAGTGTATGCATTCACAAGCACACTGGCCTGCGTTCATTATGGGAACAGCAGTGGCTGTGTTATAATCAATGTGCAAGTTAGGATGAAGCCTGCATAGGCATTCTGTAACACTCTCCAACCTGTGTTTGGTTTCATGATGGTACAGAAGCCGATGGGGTAGCTGTTAGCGCAAAAACTTTGCATATTTGTCAATAGCCATTTTCCCCCTGCTTTGAGGCTCCAAGTTTTTGGTCAACTCTTTGATTAATTGGGCTGATTTTAAACCGGACAAGTCCCAAACACCGTCACCTAATCCAGCAGTATCCCGATTTACGTCTCCCCCTTTAACGTCATCAAGCGAACGCGTCGTCACTTTATGATTAACACACCCGCTTTGTGTCGCCTCAAACCCCACACTCGCTGACGGAATCGTCCGTCCTTCCTCGCCGCCGCCGCCGCGTCAACTAATTATAGTACTGTAGAGCAGACGTAATTAATTGGCCCACTTTTTTTTATAAGGAAGAAATGATCTCAAAATACCACAATGTTGGACGTACTCAGACAAACTGAATTTGTTTTCCATCCAGCTTGGGGTGGTGATGGTGCATTCAATGTCTCGTGTGTTTCTCAAACCATTAACTTATGCTATGATTAAAGCACACTTTCTAAAACTCGACAGTACATAACTATCTTCAAAAGTACACCCAATATGTGTTTGGATATTGGAAACTTTCGACTGTGAGGTTTCCCAATTCGTGGAACTGCCACTGAGCAAACCTCTTCTCACTGGCACTCAATGGGAAAACGGTCACTGATGAATAATATTGTTCTCGTCAATCACAAGAGGGCATCTGCTGTGGAGAAGGAGCCATGATATCGGCTCGTGTGCTGGTGCCGGGTGGATCGCTCGATCACGGCACCGTGAAGGATGACGCCGACTTGCGGAGGGCTTCCTCCAGCAGTGGATTAGCCGTGGCTGACTGATGATAACGATGGTATTTGTATGGAAAATGCCCAGTTAGTGGGCACGAATAGTCTTGATTGTGCTTGGACTTTCATGGTCATCTACCGCCGATGAGGCACCTCCATCTGCTGGTCATAAATGTGCAGTGCAATTAAGAGCCTCGATGAAGAGTACACGGGTTGTTGGTTGATGGCACAGCGCAGGGATTCTCGTGGTCTCTCGCTCTCCGATGCATGTTGTCAAGTGGTACACGATGCAACAGGTTGTATAGACACACCCCACTCCCCGAAAAAAATAATTCCCCATCAAAGTCGTGGAGTTGATGCTTCAAATGATGATGAACGCCTTCCTCGTGCGGACGAAGCAACCAAGATTCACTCACCCTCCGGCCAGCGATGTTGTGTCTGCCAAACGAATGGCGTCGACTTCGGTGCGTCGATGGAAATCTACGATAGGCAGGCAAGAGTTCAACTTGCGAAGTCAAAACAGTGCCACATCACAACAACTGCCACAGGGTTTTTTTTTTACACTGAACAAGATTTATTTACTTGTATCTATATAAAAATATGGACAAGTGCAGCATTGCAATTTTCAACAAGACTTCAACCTCCGTTCACAATAATAAGACCAAAAAAGTGTAAACTTTAATTTACATAAAAACCTCCATGTACGGAAACTACTTTTTTATATATAAAACGTTCCACAACTTCAAAGGAAACCCCGTACGCTATAATACGGTAGCTAGCAAACGACAATTACGGTTGGATTCTTCTAGAGCGAATGTAAAAAACACCACCACTGAACTCGTGACGAGAATTCACACTTCACAAGAAGTGACTCTTACTCTCTGGTGTCACGTGATAACAATGACCTCGGGGGGAAATAAATAAACACAGCTTCAAGACAACGGTGATCAAAGACGGTGTTCGTGAAAAATTACTTACTATCATCGTCAGTTTCCCACCACTGCTTTTGTTATTAAATAAATATACCCCCATATTTACATACTGTCACGGCGAAACATCTTCATGTTATACAATACCAACGTCAATGGACACGCGCATCCAGCGAATGTTGACAACGACCTACAGATACGATACAAAAACAGCTGAGAAATAGACTCGTTTTAAGTGAGCAAGGTCTTCATGACATGGCACAGCAAAATTTCATTTTAAATAATCAACTTCCACGTTGGTCCCCCCCCACCCCCTACCACCCCTCGACCTGTCCCAGCAGCATTAGCAGCAGCTAATACCCCGAGCCCTGCTCCGACTCCTTGTGGCCCTGGTGCTCCCTGAGACAAGGCGACTCCCGCCCCTCCATCTCGCTCCTCGGAGGAGCCTGGAGGCGGCCGCCGCTGCCGCCCAGGCTCTGGGAGCGCACGGAGGAGGCCGCCCTGGTCTGCATGACGGGCGGCACGACGGAGCCCGTGCCGTCGGGCCCGGCCGCTTGCGCCGCCAGGAACGTCCGAGCGCCGTGCGGCTCCGGGCTGGCGGCTGCCGGGGCACGGGCCGCGCCGGCGCCCGGGGGTGTGCGGTCCCCGGGCTCGGCGTGCGTGGCGTTCACGTGCAGCCAGAGGAGAGCCGCGCTCGGGAACAGTCGAGGGCAGCGCGAACAGGCGACCGCCGGCGTCGTGGACGTCGGCGGCGCCGGCTGCGGGTGCCCGCCGTCGCCCGAGCCCGCGGGGATGCCGAGGCCGCCTGCGTGCTCCCCTGCGGGGCTGACGGGCCGATCGGGCGAGGCCGCGGTCCCCTGCAGAGGCCCCTGCACGATGCCCTGGATGGGTATGAAGGTCATGGCCGGGGCGAGCGCAGAGAACTGCGTGGCCGGGAGGAGCAGCTGCACCATGGGGACTCCGAGCACGCCCTGCGCCGTGCCCAGCAGCGCCGGCAGCAGCGGCTCGGCGCCCGCCTGGCACACGAGGCCGGCGAGGGGCGGCCGGGTCGCCGCGGCGGGGAAGCCCTCTCCCGGCTGCGGCAGGAAACCCCGGAAGGGGGACGCGGCGCCGGCCGGGGAGGAGCGGTGCCCGCCGAGCGGAAGCTGACTCGGCGCGTAGCACCCCTCCCTACCCTGATGAACGTGAGCGGCGAGCGATGGCTGAGCCATCGGCGGCGGCGGCGGTCCTTGGTAAGCGGGAGGAGACGAACCAGTGGCCGAGGTGACGTCTCTGCGCCGATCGACGTCGGCGAAAGGGAAGGGAAATCTGGTCTGCGAAGAGCCTTGCGTCGGCACGGGAGCTGCCATCAAACCAGCGGGTTGTTCCAAAGGTCGGAACGTCATACCGACCTGACCTTCATGGAATTCCTTCCCAGAGGAAAACATCAACGTGGGCGAAGAAGGTGCCAGCACCCCAGCGACTGTGTTCCACCCGGCCGGGTAGGCAACGTGTAGAGGAGGAGGCATGGGAGAGTACGCGGAGGGTAACTCCACGGCGTGCGAGATGGGGGCCAAGTTGAGCGCAGATGCCTTCTGCTCCTCTGCAGGAGCCGGAAGACGAGCGCCAAAGCCCTCACGGCTCCGAGCGAGCACGTCGGGAGGGAACGGCTGCCCCGGGGCATAATGACCCGACGGTCCAGGCTGATAGGCAATGCCCAAAGAAGGTAAATTTCGGGCGACCAAGTACGCCCCCTGACCGGCGGCGGCCGGAGCTTCGCTCAGAGCGCAGAGACCTCCCGCCGATTGGTACACCAAGCCCGAGTGGGCGGCCGGGCCGACGTGCGGCACCAGCGGCGACGGCGGCGGGGCTTGCCCGCTCAGCAGAGCCGGACCGAGCGCCGCAAAGGAGGGGGGTGCGTCGAGAGGGAAAGGGCGCGCGGGGGCGAGGCGGCCGTACACGGACGAGTAGCCCCGCAGGGGAGACGCGCCGGTCCTGGGCAGCGTGGCGCTCCACACGGGGGGCTGCACCAGCCCGGCGAGCTGCGAGGGGCTCAGCCTCGTCGCGGCGCCGCCGGCCCGGAACCCGGCGCCTCCGAACGGCACCTCCTCGCTCGAGAGCGACGTCAGCCCCCCGCCGGGGGACCGGGCGCGGTCCGTCCGGGGGACCGCGTCGGCGACGGGCCCGGCGCCCACGTGACCGTCGGCCGTCGGCTCGGGGGTCCGGCTAGCCGAGCCGCCGGGTGGCGTGGCCGTCGTTGCTTCGGCGAGGCGCGGTCTTTCGGCAGCAGGTGGCGGCGCGACGGCGCCGAGGGGAGCGACGGGAAGTAGGGAGCGGCTGGGCTGGCGGGAGTGCAGTGGCAGGTGGCTGAATACGGGGTCCTGCTTCGCCGAACCCAGCCCGGCGATGGCTCGCGATTCCGCTCTCGTGGGCAGCAGCAGGGGGATGACGTCGGCCACCAGGGTGTAGCCCGGCTGAGTCTGCGCCACCACACGCGCAGAGGACAAGGGGGGGGGGGGGGGGGGGGGCGCAATTGACGAGACGTTAATTTGTCTGCGACTGAGCATGTGTCGCGAGTTGTACCGTCGATGTCAAAAGTTAAAAGTGGTTTTTCACCCTTGAGCATGGGGTAAGCCCTCGCATCTCATGCTTACGGCCCTCAGCCAGTGGGAGAAATGAATGCCACGTAAATTAAATTGGGGAAAAAAAGAAAATGTTACAGTTCGTCGATCGACCGGTCACATGTGATGGGGCAAAGTGTGGGTAGTCCCACCTCTTTCTAAGAGCTAGGGCCAGTATGGCAGAAAAGGCCAAAAACAACCCTCACCAACCCACACTGACTTGAGCGTTGAAGTATGGTAAAAAAAAAAATATCCATGGCTGACAAGGTGAGAAGGAGGCATTTTGCTCGCAGTCAATTAACAAAGAGCTGTGAATAAGCATCATGTTTGACAACGGGGGGCTCTGTTGAGCTCCCTCCAGAGACTCAATCAGCTGTCACTGTCCCTGCAGGAGGACCGCACTGGCTGGGAGACTATTTAGATTAATTTGCTGCTATTAATTTGCACATGATGAGCCACTTTGATGAGCTATCATTTGTGGCCAGATCGCTTTTGAAAAATGAGGCAATAGCTCAGTGGGCTTTACCTGCTAAGATAAAATTGTATTAGTCTCATTAGTTATTTTTTAAGTGATTTGTTTACCTTTCCTATACCTTGCACTACTATCGTGTTTTTGTGCTGTTTGATGTTGTAACGTTCTAACCCACCCCTACCTTTGCAGCTCATCGGATTCCTCCAGGATAAATAAACATTCCGATCATTCTGATTCCCATCTTACCCTGGCGTCGTCCGAATACCGAGCAGCCAGGTACGGCGCCCCAGGTGCCGGGAAAGCGGCGCCCGGCGTGACGTTGCCCTCGTCCGTCTCCAGGGGGGAGGGCGGCCCGTCCAGCGACAGCATCCTCACCACCTCGCACGGCGGCGTCCTGGGAGACATCTCCACGGGTGAGCCGTGCGCCGCCGCCTCCGCGCCTCCGAGGCCGGGCGAGCGGCACGGGACGGGCGAAGGCGGCGGCGGCACCGAGTAGAGGAAGGAGCGCTCCGGCCTGGGGCAACGCACGTACAGGGCGGCGAGCGTGGCTTCCCGTGAGGGTGCCGCCCCGTAGCCGGGCGGCAGGTACTGGCCGGGCCTGCTCGGAACGTCGCCCGCGTCCGGGAAGAAGAAGGTGGCGGCGGCGGCGGACGACGAGGGGCGAAGCACGGGCAGGAGTGGGCCTGGCAGTTGGACAGGCGACGGGGGCGAGCTCGCGAACATCGACACGGACGTCGAGGACGGCGGCGGCGGCGACATTTCGCGGGCGTCCGCCGGCCGAGCGTAGCGCGGGAACTGGCGGCAGTGCTCCGGCAGGGCTTCCCTCGGGAATGGCGTGGCCCGACCGCTAGAGGACGAAGTTTCGAGCGGCGATGCCGATCCTTCCACGGGGAAGGAAGCGGCGGTGGCCGCGTCGGTCGTTCCGCCCGGCCGAGTCCCAGAAACGCTTCCCGCTTGGGTCAGGGTCTCCGTCGCGGGCGTGACCGACGCGTTGGCTACGGCCTGGGGTCCTCCGGACCGACCTTGGTAAGCGGCACCGGTTGCTTCGCCAGCGTCCAAGGGGAGATCACGGGCACCTGAACCGGCGGGGGGGTGCCCGGCAGGAGACTCGCCGATCCCTGCGAACGCTTGGGACGAAAATGCGGTGGCGGTGATCGGCTTCACCGGCCGTAGCTCCTGTGCCGCTCGGGTTGGAGACTCAGAAGCCCCTGCTGCTGCTGCTGCCGCTGCTGTCCTGGAAGTGCGAACACCAGATGGGCCTGGCTGAGGCTCGGGTTGCTCGACGGGCAGAGTGAACTGGGCTGCGTGGCGACGGCTCTCGCTGCCGCCGTCCTCCTCCTCCGGCTCATCCGGCTCCTCGGCAGCGTGCTCGCTCCCTCGGTTTCCCTCGTCGCTGCCCTCTCCTAGCCCCGGAGACAAAATAAACAACGCGGCACAATAATGAGTCGATGTTAGAAAAATAGTTTAAATGCGTTCGCTTCCTTTCGTATTTTTTCGTTGTAATTTAATTCCAATTGCGCTGCGGGCATCACGTCAAGGGACGATGACATTTTAACTTTACATTTAAACTTTAAACTCGGAGGATGGAGTGCATCACCCTGTATTTATACAGGTTGTCCTTCCCCTCACCTCCGATGAGCACAATTGGCTGCATACGGTGCGAAAGAAGTTCAACATACATATATATTGATCGATTTAAAGCTTTCGTGACTGCAGGGATTCATCTTCTTGGTTCTTTCGGCAAAGTCACGTAGAAGGCAGATATTAAAATAATAAAAATTAAACATAATAAAATAATACAATTCTCACGACGTTTGAATGACATTCAGACGCTGTCTTTCCGACAGACCTGTTTTTCACCTGAGGACGGCTGCTTGTGTTGTGGCCGAAATGTCGTGAGAATTGTATTATTTTATTATGTTTAATTTTTATTATTTTATTATTTCCCTTCTACGTGACTTTACCGAAAGAACCAAGAAGATACATATATATTTTTCGGACGTGCAATCCACATGTCCCATAACTTATCTCCCGTCACGGCAGTTGAAACAATGGTGCACGTTTCTTTAAATAATTTCCACACACCTGTGACACCAGCAGCGTAAATGGGGTTCATCAACATTATTTGATGAGTAAGTTGCGTATGATGGATTAAAGTGTGGGTACCTCTCCCAAGATGCCTGGCCAATGTGGAAGAGTAGCCCAAAGTACCCTCGAGATCGGCTCTAGAAATACTTATAGTGGAGGCCCTTTCACCAGCAGTGGCATGAGCAAGGAGTTTCAGGGCTGCATATTTACCTTTGTAATATTACACACATTACCACGCAGATTTTTTTAAAACCCCAATACTTGTTATAGTTGCCCGTGCAAGTTAAATAATTTCAATGCATCAGCCCATTCCCATTCACACGCTGACTAGTGCAGTATTTCAACAAGATGAGCGCACGGGCATAACGTTCCCTTGGAAATTGGTATGGTTTATCAGCATGCGTGCAGCAGCAACAGTCGACAAACTGGGCTTGCATATAGATATATTTTTTAGTCGCTTTTCAATTATTTTAAATTCCCCGGCACGGATGGTGGACCCTGAAAAAGGCAGCTCTCTACAACAGGGTAGATGAGGTTATTTTGCAAACCCACGGCCATGAACCAGCTCCCTACTCAAGGAGACAGTAGCATCCGATTAGTCTGAATCTGCCAAACGAATTGAGATATCCCGAGGTTATAGTTAATTAAAAAAACAAGAGAAGGAAGATAGAGATTCAGCCCTGCAATGTCTTGCTCGCATCACTGCTGGCAGAAGGCCTCCAGTATACGAAGCTCGATAGGGCCCCTCGAGTAGAGACCCCCTCTAAAGGGAAATGTTGGCCTACTCTTCCATGCTTGCCAGTCGTCTTTAGAAAATGTGTTTGTAACCACTGATATTAACGTATCCATGACACCTTCAATAGTGCTGTTTGTTGCTGACCACTGAGCACTTGGGTCTCTGAACCCTGTGATCAGTGACCATGATACAAAAAACACACACACACCAGCCACATTTGTAATAACCAAGGCGAGCATCGCTGTTGCTGTGTTTATATAATTCCACGTGTCCTTAGAAAAATGGTCCACACGCACATATGGGCCCGTAACGTGCTTAGGGTTAAGCACTCTCTGTTGCGTTCAAATTGCTTGCACTCACTGCCCCCCCCCCCTGCCCCCCCCCCCCGCCAGCTCATACCTCACCCCATCACTCAGAAGAGTTCGACCTGCGGGAGGCCCGGCACATTCATTATTTATTTATTGCCACACTTTTTTTCTCTCTCTCCGCCGCCGCCGCAAAATCCATCCCAATTGTCCTATTCTTAGGTTTTTTTCTGTAAAGTCACGTAGGTAAAAAATTAAAATTAATAAAAGTAAAATAAAATAAAAATCACGACGTTTCGGAGGCAACACAAGCTTCCGTCTTCAGGTGGAACCGTCACAGCCACGACAGCTGTATCAAGTAAATTAGAGATTACAAGAGCTACCGCTCCGTATATATTTATTAATTTTAATTTTTTACCTACGTGACTTTACCGAAAAAACCTAAGAATATGAATCCTTGCAGTCACGAAAGCTTCAAATCCCCAATTGTCCTATCGGCGTCGCGTCAAGAGATGAGGAATCCGCTCACACCTCTCGCGGAGAACTGCAAAACCCCTTTGTGCGAGCGAATGGAGCACAAGGAAGTGGATATCCCAGAGCTACAACTCTGAGATCCTTTTCAAGCGGCCGCTGGTCCAAACGGTGGAGGGCGACACTTTCGAACCCACTCTGCGTATGAGAGTAACGTTCTTCGAACTAAAATTATAATCAAAGCCGATATTTTTAATTCTCGTATGTGGAATTGAGCCAGTTTGAAGTGCAGAACCAAATTGAATGTGATGAAGTTGTTTGTATCGTCAGAATCTGAATATTTATTTATACTGGAGGAATATAAAGATCTGTTTCACAGATGTCCAGTAGGGGTGGGTAAAAACGTCACTATCAACAAACAATACAAAAACATGACAGTCGTACAAAGCACAGGAATGGTAAACAAATCGCCCAAATGCATACAAATGAAACTAAACCGTCCACATCCTACCAGGCAAAGCGCACTGAGGTATTAACTTATATTTTAGAAGCGACCTGGCCACAAATGATTAGCTCAATAGAGTGGCTTATGTGGACATTTATAGCAGCAAAATAATCTAAATAATAATAGTCATTGGTGACCCAGGACGAGACCATCAACTCACTTGAGGATTCGGTTGAGTCAAAGGATCATGCCTGCAATTGAACCCAGCACCTCAGCGGTGCCAGCTCATCGCCAGAGGTCTCAAATGGGTTTTGATTCCTTACCCGTACCCGGCCGCACCAGGGTCGCAAACGGGTACCCGTACCCGGCCGTACCCGTACCCTACGCAAACGCCAAATATACAGGCATCAGCGTCAGGGCCAAAACCACAACCTCCTGCATACCAGGCGAGGTAGTTAACATCTCGCCACCCTGGCGCCCTCTCCTCGGGATTCTCAGGGCCCACTTCCCCTGTGGTAACAAACCTCGAAAACCGTGCACTCATTACCTTTGGGGGGCTTCCACTGGTCATTGTGTGACAGGGTCTTTTCACTGCAAAGATTTGGCCCGCTTGCAATTCAATGAAAGGTCATGATTTGAGAGTCACGATTCGATTCGATGATGTGTTGTCTCTACATTGTGCCGAATGTAGCACATGTAGTGGTTGCCGAGGTCTCGTTAGTCCTTTAAATGCAACTGAGGAATTGACTGGACGAATGATTAGCACGAGACTAAAAGAACACAAAATATATTTTAAATACTCTCAAATACAACTGTCGGCAGTGGCAGAACACGCGTGCCAACAAGGGCACTGAATTGATTTTGATGATGTTGAAGTTAAGTGCAAAACTAGCTACTACTGGCCACGACTAATTTGAGAATCTATAGAAATTTAGAGAAGTCAAAAATAAGTTTAACCGTTCGGATGGCTACAGGCTTAGCGCTGCTTGGAAGTGAATCATCAAATGATACATTGTGTAAATGCATGCCTACACATGTCATCATACATCAATGTGGGATTACCTGTATGCAGACAATAACAGCTACTGCTATTTTATTGCACGCAAACCACAGGAGGTACAATAACAACGTGCACGCATAATGCACGTTGATCACCATATGCATAACACAACCGGCAATGGATACACATTGTAATTTATATGCATTCATTAACCGCCTCAACCCCCTTTGCACGTGAAGGGCTCGCAAGTGACATCATCACATCTATCCCTCTATTTAAGGGACGAAACAGGTGGACTTCTCCACAAATCTGTCTGTTGCCTGATGAGGCTAGTTGTAATTACTGGCGAAACGTCGTAATCAGATTGCCAATGTTGTGGATTTGCTCTCCAACACACCGGTGTGCTGTACTCGTGACGAATTGGCCACGTTCTGTTTACGTAACAAACCTTACTGATTGGCTGTGTCGGGTGGTGGCGGGTTTAACGACACATTTATATTTACGCGACCTAACCCAAAAAACCTATATTATGGATTACAAAAAATGTATTCCCCCCCATTCACAATTTGATGCGTCTATCATGAGGTTACCAAACTTCTTGGACCTTCCCTGTTTCAGAGAGGGTGTCCCTGCGTCCTGAAGCTCGTGTGAAAGTCTGCATTTTGTCACAGTCTACGATTGTCTGACTTCATGCTCACCTCGTGATAGGGGCAAAGGCCTGGGCTATCCGAGCAGTGAGCCCCGTTGAGGGGTTGGCTGGAGCAGGAGTAGCTTGGGCTTGTTGGCAGTAAGACGCACCAACGTGAGAAATCACGAGGCCACTCGCTGTGTCCGCACGGGGTAGTGGCCGAGTGGGCCTGGCTGACAGAGAGGCTGCCAGTTCACCATATGTTCTGATTGAGTCTCCCAGAAATGTATGCATGTTGAACTTAAATTTCGATTTAAAGCTTTCGTGACTGCAGGGATTCATCTTCTTGGTTCTTTCGGTACAGTCACGTAGAATGGAAATAATAAAATAATAAAACATAATAAAATAATTCTCACGACGTTTTCGCCACAACGCAAGCAGCTGTCCTCAGGTGAAGAACAGGTCTGTCGAGGAGACAGAGTCTGAATGAGAAAGAAAGACGCTGTCTCCTCGACAGACCTGTTCTTCACCTGAGAACGGCTGCCTGCGTTGTGGTCGAAACGTCGTGAGAATAATTTTATTATGTTTTATTTTTATTATTTTATTATTTCCATTCTACGTGACTTTACCGAAAACCAAGAAAATGTTGAACTTCTTTCGCACCGTACGTAGCCAACCGCGCTAATCGAAGGCGCGGGGGAAGGACAACAAATGTGGTATCCTTGATGTATTTCTTCAAGTCGACAAACATTTAACTAACCGAAACGATGACCATTACACGCCTGCTTAGGGTAAAGGAATGTTCACCTTCGACTGTGACCTCCTGCTCCTTGGGGGTGAGACCCAGCTCCAAACACTGCTCACCATGCAGCTTTGACTTGATATGTTTCACTAGGTTTCCTTTGGGAAACATAAAACAACAAGACAAAAATGTAAATACAATAAGTTTACCGGGTTCCTAAGTCACTATTTAAAAATCCAAGTGTCATTCATTCGTATTTTTTTACACATTTTCGAATGAATGCATTTGAATGCAGTGAATGTTTTAATTATAAGCGGCGTGTCATGAAGTCTACCCAATTACAGTTATAATCACTGATAACAAGTAAAACAATGTCGATTTAAAGCTTTCGTAACTGCAGGGATTCATCTTATTGGTTCTTTCGGTAAAGTCACGTAGAAGAGAAATAATAAAATAATACATACAAATAAAACATAATAAAATACAATTCTCACGACGTTTCGGCCACAATGCAAGCAGGACGGCTGGCTTGCGTTGTGGCTGAAACGTCGTGAGAATTGTATTTTATTAAGTTTTATTTGTATTATTTTATTATTTCCCTTCTACGTGACTTTACCGAAAGAACCAAGAAGAAGTAAAACAATGCTTAAAATAAACAAAGAAGCTCTACTGTTAAACAGTAAATTATTCAACATATCTGTTTATATTATTTGAATTTCAAACTTATTATTAAAAACCCAGCAATATAAATTCTACCGTGATAATTTCTATGACAATCAGCTAAATCAAGACTACAATTTGAAACCTGTTTCTCAAAACACACAGGCCCTCATTCCCATCCTTGTTGGTGTTAACCAACTGCCACCAGAAATGAGAATAGATCCATTCGGCCTCACCGATTGTTTTATTGGGAGAAAATTCACCGCGTTCGCAGGCAATTTTGCTGATGAATGCACGAACATCATTTCCAAGCTGTGTTTACAGGGTCCTTCTCGTTTCACTAATTTAAACGAAGAAGAAGAAAACAATTGCCGCTGAAATACTTATGTCAGCCACAACAAAAAAATCCACCATTCGCCACTAAGTGGTGGTGACGTCGCCACGGCGTTTGTGCCAGACTAGGTGCACTTTAAGGCCACCTGAAGTGTCAAACGCCCGCTTGCAGGAGGTCACGGGACAGAACCAGGTGCCATGGGTTGACTGACTGAGATGATTGGCAAATGCACCACCTGTTGCCCCTACTGTGGCCATTTCACACAGCCCACACGGCCACGAGCCCTCTTATCGAATTCAGGTCCTACGAGCAGAACGGAGCAGAAGCAACAATGAGCTGACCAGCCTCGAATTCATAAATAATCACCCGTGGCCACAGCATGCCACATGCCATCTCATCTGGTAGACTGGTAGAGTTCTAGATTTGAAGCTTTCGTGACTGCAAGGATTCATATTCTTAGGTGTTTTCGGTAAAGTCATGTCGGTAAAAAATAAAAATTAATAAAAGTAAAATAAAATAAAAATTAAATAAAAATCACGACGTTTTGGAGGCAACACAAGCTTCCGTCTTCAGGTGGAACCGTCACAGCACGACAGCTGTATCAAGACTTTTTATTTTATTTTACTTTTATTAATTTTAATTTTTTACCTACGTGATTTTACCGAAAAAACCTAAGAAAAAGACCGGTAGAGCTTCCTCTGAACGATGTCCCCCGGGTCACACCGTCTTCCCCCAGTATACTAACCCCCCCGATCACAGTTCCCGAAAAAAAGCCGAGAATTTCGATGTCTCTCTTATCTTTGCTCGTGTCTCCCAATTTATGGGATTATTAGCGAACGATTTGGGCAAACATCGTGCACCCGTGGGAGCTCTCCCGACATAGCAGTGCCCGCTCCCGGTTGACAAGACCACGGGAATCATTGCGAGATGATTTATTTCTTCGTCCTCCTCTTGTCGGTGAGCACGGCTAATAAAGATTAGAGTGCCGTGGAGAGAGAGTTATGGGCCAACGAAGGCCCGCGCGACGTTTGCACCACGTGGGTAAAGACGAAGACAAACATCTCCCGTGTAGCCTTAACAGGCTGATGGGGCAAGGGCTGTTTAGCGAGTAGCACCTATGAAGTCCGGCAGGGCACACGAGGTGATAGGTGGCCAGCACCACGCCCGATCGCCTTTGTCTCCCCAGCGGCGATTCTTTTTTACACTCCACCGCATCCGGTACTCATTTGAGGCTGAGTCGACCTAGGGGAGTTCCAGGACCGGTTCAGATAATCGTCACTTGGTGTTGGTGGCCGTGAGCGGGAAAATTAAACTCGGGTCGCTGGGTTCGTAGCGCAGCGCTCGCCGCTGCGCCACCGCTCCCCGCTCCTCTGTGTTCCCGCCTTTGGGGCCGCCCATAAATGACGTCACGCGATTTTGGACGATTTTTGACCCTCCCCCCTCGTCACACGGCGTCACAAAAAGTCAGACCCTCCCTCAAATATGACGTCACAAAGCTCTGCCCCCACCCCAAAACCATATTTCCATTTTGAAAATAAAACATGCTTCAAATCGCTTTAAACTATTGTCATTGTAGTGCGTATTTATAGCAGCGCTGCACTCTGATGTTGTAGGAGTGTTGTTATAACAATTTGTGTTGTTATAACAATTCTATATTTATTTAAATTTGCGCATTTTAATGTGACGTCACATCTCTCAAACACATCCGGAGTTGAACTACACACCCCAGGGGTGCCAACTCAGCATTCTCGTCCCTTTACCTCAACTGTATTTTAAAAAATCACATTTTTAATCGATTACAACCTAAGTTGTGCTTTCAGAACCATCTGATAAAAAAAATGTACGTGATATGTCTAAAAATATATATCCTCAGAGTTGGATTTGGCTGTGTTCGTTTAAAACTGATTTCGTATGATGTTTTATGAAGCCACTATTGGCTCAGCTAATATGGATAACTTGGTGTAAACTTGTGTGAATGACATAAATCATTTACCAAGCCCTCAAAGTTACTGACTCGTTGCTCAGACACGGCCATTACAAACCGGAGTTTAAAGTTTTAAACTAGGATTTCAGTATGGCCTTACCTTTATTCCTGGTTTTACCAAGAGTATCATCCCGGATCCGAATCAGTACTTAGTGAACCCATTCCACTGCGGCAGCACAGAACACAGAACTATGCTCATTAAATGTAGTTAACTTTAACTTTTACTGGTGGGAACCACCTGCTTCCACCAGCCCACAGGGGATTATTGTGTCCGTCCGTCGTGCATCCAAAAATGGGAGGGGTGGGGCTGGGTGGAGAGGGGAGGGTGGGGCTGTGTGGGGGGTGGGAGGGGTGGGGCTGGGTGGGGAGGGGCTGGTCACCCCGTGGTGCCCTTATAAAACTCAACGTTTAACCTACTCACGCCGGCTTGTGCCCGCCCTCACAGTCGGCCATATTTGCAGAATACACCACGCCGCCGTTGACCCTGGCCATTGACCGAGCAACCCAACGTTCCTACCAGCTCCCTCCGCAGGAATGTGTTAGCACTCATAGAGGCATTCCCTCCATGTGATGGGAGCGCGGGGCCACCAATGCCACTTCCAATTTCTGAAAAAAAATATCTCTCTTTTAAGCCATTCATTACAAACGAATAGATCGAGGGGGTGTTTTTTTTTTCACTGAACATGAAAGAGAAACAGTGAAGCGAGCAACTTTCAATGCTGTCAAGTGTCATGAAGCCACTTTAGAGAACAGCCGGCATGATGCAATTCAAACAGGCAAAGCCACGCGATGCATTCAGAAGCCCGATGCAAAGTTAATATTTAATTGCCATAATCGGCACTCTTAGGGCCTCAAAGTGGGTGAGCAAAGCAAGTAGTGAGGGTAACAAACGAATTTACTCTGCCGTCATATTTTTAGAAAGAGGCCCTCTATCAACGCCCCGAATTACGAACGGATCATTTAACCGGCATTCATATTTTGTAGGGGTTTTTATTTATTCATGCGATTTATAAATCCTCAATTTTCAAGGAAAAATTGACATTCCCCGTCGACCGGCTGAGTATTTTAATTTGCTCGCCGTAGGCCCAACCCGTTTTTCTTACTGCGAACAGTGCGGCAAATGTGTGACGATGCCGTACGGCCCTGACCTATTCACACTGAGCCATATTCGGACAAGCCAAGGTCAAACCACAGAATTTCAATCATTTTTGGGTTAGTGGAACAAGAGAGCAACTCATATTGATTTTCTTGTTTATTAAAAGTGAAGCGCATCGCGGCTGCTCCTTGTGTCCTTCCCAAGGCTACAGCTACAAGTGTACAATCTCCACTACCACGTGAATCAAAGTCCGTGGGTGGTTTCATTTTCCTTTGTACAACAGATATTTGTCCTCGTGAAATTAGCGTGGGGAGCGGTGGCGCAGTGGTTAGCACACTTTAACCGGGCTACTTGGATTCAATTCCTGGCCTGGGCTAGTGTCAGTGACGAGTGATATCTGAGCTAGTTCTGAAATCCTCGATCAGCCACACAGAGTGGTGAGGCACAGCCAAAAAACTCAGATGATCAAGGTGGTGTGGTTAGGGAGGTCTTCATCTTGTATTGAACTGATAAATGGCTGATTTTTTTAAAATTATATTACACTGTCATCAGAAAAAAATATTGTCCAAAAATATTTGACGTGAACAGTCTAGTGCCCATAAGGACCCTCTACAATCCCTCAATAAAGCAATTGCTTAATGGATTCGCATTATCAAAAATATATATTCCTTGTACTTCAATGTCAAAGGGTGCCCATTCAAGTTCAGCAGCAAATTCGATTGACACATGCCATTACACAGGCACTCCCACACAAATTCACATTTTGGTCGTGTTTTTTTGTTGTTGCTTGAGGCATGCCAAAACATATTTATTTCCAATTGCTACATTTTCCTGCTGCATTCTGGTCAAAAAATTAAGGGAGGCACAATACAATGCATTGTCTTAGCATGGTTGGCACGGGCACTCGGCACAAGGAATGAAACGGTGCCCTCTGTCAAATTCCCCACCATCCCTCCCCTCTACATAGCCCAGCATCTGGGCCTATCCATCCCGCGGGCCTCTGAGCAGTTGCACCGCCTGCACACTCTCGATAGCTACGCCACGGGCCCGATGTCACTGCCACCTCAGATCACGGGTGCCATCGCGCACGCAGCACGACGAGCTGCGCCTCGTAAATTTTGATCAATCGGGGACCACCTGACCTTTGCAGGGACGTCGCTTGTGAGTTCCCGCGAGGACAACGCTTACGGCAAGATTGTGCCAATGTGCAGTAAAAATGCTCTCTTCTAAAAATAAAAAAAATGTTTTCCCCCCCCCCTCCCCAATTTCATCCCAATTGTGCTATCAGAATCACATCACATGAAGATGTATTCCCTCCTCAGAGCAGTGTGACCCTTCATGTTGGAAAATCCCTCCAAGTGACCTCTGGTCCACACGCAGTAAATAGCAGCACTTCCCACCTGCTCTGTGTATGAGAGTGAGGTTCATCACATGGCAGGCAAAACCAATTTTCAACGCTGTAATTTAGCCAAATAAGTACGGAACCAAATGTAAAGCCTTTTTTGGCGCAGTCTAAAGTGCTCAGGCTGATTCCATCAACTCATTAAACTTGAGGATCCGGTTGAGCCAAAGGAACTTGCTTGAAATGGAACCCAGAACCTCAGCGGTGCCAGGTTTATGCTCTGACCTTCAAACCACCTGGCCACCTTCAATGAAATGCTCCCTTGGGTGACCCAGGTAACAGGGGACTGGACCAGTGAACTGGGGCTCAGATAGGATTTTCTGGAGGCTGAAGTTTTCAGGATTGTCAGGATTCAAAGGAAGTCTGTGAGGCTCATAATGCCAAACTATGCCACCAGGGGAGTGACAATGTATCCATTTGTCCTGCTCTCACAAAAATGCATAGAATCGTGTGCATGAGAACTGATGAGTGCTCATAGAGGAGTGACGCTCACAACAACGAGCAGAGCGCAGGTCGGCTAAAACGCAGAGACTTGGCACAGTGGGGAGCACGGTTTTTGCAATCTGCCAGCCATCTCAGTCAGTCAACCCGTGACACCTGGGCTTGTCACGTGACCTCCTGCCAGTGGGGCTTTCGCCACTTCACTTGGCCCCAAAGTGCACCTCGTACGACACATGCGCCGTGGTGATGTCGCCACCACTTAGCGGTGTTGTTGCTCATTTCAAGTTCAGCAGAGATTTCCGTCAGCATGCAGAGATCAGTCGGCGGTAGAAGTGGTGACTACAGACCAGCCCGGCGCACCAGTTGCGGTTCTCCCAGCATCCTCGCTGTGACGCGTCTCACCGTTGCTTTTGAAGGAGACGCCGCAGACGTGGCAGTGGTGGGTCCGGGGGCACTGCGGAGAGCCCGATCGCTCGTGCAGGGCTCCGGGCTCCTGCCGATGCCCGCTGGAGTCGTCGCCGCCCGGCCTCTCACAGCCGTGGCCCCGCGGGAAACCGCGCTTCTCCGACGGAGGCAACCTGCGGCAGCGTGGGAGCAGGAGAACCACGTGAACTTAAACACAAAACTAAGAGATGGGCCACCATTGGACGAGGTTGATTTCGACAACGTCGGATGCGCCGTACGCGACCTCGGCTTTCGAATGACCCTGACGTCTTTGTCACAAAGCAGTGGTCGGCGTCGATGCAGGTGATTAGCAAGATGAGGCCTACCATCAAGGCGACCCTGCGCTTCGTTTAGTTTGCCTACTGATTTGACTCCCCCCCCCCCCCCCATCTCGGCCGAAGCTATGTGGGCAATCAAAGTTGAGTGTTGGGGTCGTATGAATTTTATATAGATTTTTTACATGACCTACAACACATTCCTTCACTACCATTCTAGATATATAATACACACACGACCTGGACACTGGTATTGATGCCATATGGTCGCTGGCACAAGTGCTTTCAACCTTAATTGTAAAGCATTACATATTTTAATCGCCACAATGTTTATGCTTTAAATGGTATGCACAGAGACACAAATACCCGATGCATTCTGAAATTGTTCGACAGTGTTTGTCTCAAGCTTGATTTGAAGCTTTCGTGACTGCAGGAATCCATACTCTTTGGTTCTTTCGGTAAAGTCACGAAGGTAGAAAATACAATAAAATAGATCACGACGTTTCGGGCGCAACACAAGCGATCGTCCTCAGGCGGAAAAAATAATCCAGCAGTAGAACTGCTGAACCAGGAAGAACACATATGAGGATAATCACTTGTGTTGCGATCAAAACGTCGTGATCTGTTATTTTACATTTTTCTTTTATTTTTCTACCTACGTGACTTTACCGAAAGAACCAAAGAGTATGTTGTCTCAAGCCAAGTCTTTACAGAAAATATAATACCATAGAAAAACAAGTATCTGTTGCTCAATAAAAAATTAAGCATGTATCTTTCACTCCGATTAGCACGGTTGGCTATGTACGGTGTGAAAGAAGTTCAACATACATACATGCATGCAATGAAAGGGATTTCTAGAAAAAGAAATGTTTCCAGCGTCATTCATTTAAGCGGACAAACTCTGGAGAAATTTCACCTTGCTTAGTCTCATCAGCAAAGTGCGACTTGCCAACCAATGGCGCCGAATTGCTTAAGTTTCCAAGAACACAGCAGGGACCATTCAGCACAGTTGGAGCAACACTGTACAAAATGTATGCACGCTGTGGTGAATTGTGGGTAATAACACATTCCTGCGGAGGGAGCTGGTAGGAACGTTGGGTTGCTCGGTCAATGGCCAAGGTCAACGGCGGCGTGGTGTATTCCGCAAATATGCCCGACTGTGAGGGCGGGCACAAGGCGGCGTGAGTCGGTTAAACGTTGAGTTTTATAAGGGCACCACGGGGTGACCAGCCCCTCCCCACTCAGCCCCACCTCTCCCACCCCACACCCAGCCCCACCCTCCCCACCCAGCCCCTCCCCTCCCTCCCCTCTCCACCCAGCCATACCCCTCACATTTTTGGATGCACGACGGACGGACACAATAATCCCCTGTGGGCTGGTGGAACCAGGAGGTTCCTACCAGTATAATTGGAACGTAAAAAGATAGACAAGCATTCCCTTCACTCGGTTAAACACAACACTGGGCCAATGTTTTCCAGCAACATTTGTGTTTTAGGAAATGTTTTCCTTAAAAGTTTGGTTCATAAACAAATGCTGCCGGATTTGTATTTATAATTTTCTTCCAATGAGTCCATTGCCAAACTGTTACCTCGTGCTTACATGGGGTTAAATAGACCCATGCCTGTTCATTCTTGTTTTATTTACTACGAACTGCCGCGGCAGAATTTAATTAATTTCATATGAACATACTCTTAGTTCTTTCGGTAAAGTCCCGTAGGTAAAAAATGAAATCAAAATTAATAAAAATAAAAAACAAAAACAATAAAATCACGACGTTTCGGAGGCAACACAAGTTTCCGTCTTCAGGTGAAACTGTCACAGCAAAATATCTGTACGCATAAGATAGTGCGTCACTTGATACAGATATTTTGCTGTGACAGTTTCACCTGAAGACGGAAGCTTGTGTTGCCTCCGAAACGTCGTGATTTTATTGTTTTTTTATTTTTATTAATTTTGATTTCATTTTTTACCTACGTGACTTTACCGAAAGAACTAAGAGTATGAATCCTTGCAGTCACGAAAGCTTCAAATCCATTTCATATGAACATAAACACACACTTTGGGGAGGTGAAGGTGCAGCTCATGAGGATCACCACGGCCGTGTCGGAGCCTCACTGGCTGATCGGACGGTCAATCCTCCTGGTTTTGCACTCCCTCGGCGGTAGCGGACGACTGCCGTGAACCCCGCGTCAGAGCCTCACAACGCAGGCCCAAGGTCACTCCAGTGTGAGTGCGGTCGACAGCTTCAAACAGCTTGACGTTATGGTGTACGCATAAGATAGCGCGTAGAATGTGCTTGCTCACGCGACCGCTGCAGTGTACCCTCGTATGCTGCTGGCTCGTCTGACAGGCGTGGGGAAATGTCGTGCAACCGGCACCAGTTTCACCTGCCGTGCCTGGAGATCGAGCAGGTGCTCTGCCAATCATTGCACCGTGGCGGCTTTGTGTGTGTGTGTGTGAATTTGGTGTAGGTGAGAGAGAGATGGAGAGAGACACTCTCTCTGTTATTTGGGCTTGTTTTTTTGTTACATTTTCAGTGAAAAAATTATAAGAACACGTAGGCCTTTTTTTAAAAGATGTTATGCTGTTTTTCGGAATATTTTTTTTTACGTAATATTATATGCATTTCTACATATCACAGCAAGGGAGGGTAACTGCCTTTGGGTGTTACCTTCCATTGGTCATTACAAGTACCGCTCGCTATAAAAGTACCCTCGAAAATAATAAAATGGCCAATGGGAATATTTAACATGCGGTGTTTAGCATGAAAACGATATTAAAAAAAGACTACAGCACACTTGTAGAATTGTAGACAGCATGTTGGTGCCAATTTAACATCGATTGGATATCTGTGAAAAAAAGCTTTATAGCTCATCGTATTCCTCCAGTATAAATCAATATTCTGATTGATGTGTGCCACTGTTCAATAATACTATCGCTACCTCCGATTAGCACGGTTGGCTGCGTATGGTGCAAACGAAGTTCAACAGCCATACATACAACTTGTACATGCAAAGGCCCTATTATAGAGGTAAATGCGTGCCACCAGTGGTGGAGCATGGTTGGCATTGGGCCCTGAATAAGCTTCAGTTCATGAAGGCAAATGGAGCGAAACGCTGGGACATCAAGCCGAGCGACATCGGGCACAACCCGAGAACACGTCGGACAGTACGGTGCGAAAGAAGTTCAATGTGCACGCACGTGCGTGCGCGCGCGCACCGCGGTACCAACCTTTCATCGAACGCGGCTCGAGCAGACTCGCAATCCCGTGACGGAGCCTCTCCAGGAAGCGTGACCTCGACCCCGGACCCCGCCGCCCGCTCCGTGCAAGCCTGCGCGGCGTCCCCCATCTTGACCTTCATCTCTGAGCGTGGCTGAAAAAAAAATTAAAAAAGGATTAATTTTAATTAGTTTGCCTTGCTCCTCAAGATAACGATGTAAGATCGTGACACACCACGTTTATAGGCAAGTGTCCTTAATACGTCAAACCATTCTAAATATTAATTTCTGTGACAACTTGCTATAATTCTTCACGCTTGCATTTGGCAGAATGTCTTTTCACCTACCACTTACATCTCTCATCATATTCCACACGGCATTGGGTACTCATTTGCCCGTATTTGATATGCTGCTCACACCCATACTTGAAAATGCCTAATATCACAATTACACATACATATTCCATTCCGTTTTGTGAATTAATATGGTATCTGGTGTAAAGGACATCTTTCTCTCCAAAGGACATACAATATCGATTTAGCCTTATACACCAAAAGGCTTCTGTAGAAAGCACTCCATTAATTTCAACTTTGGCATGCTTTACATTTTAATACAGTTCTTTTCGCGTGATGTTATTATCAGGATTTTTTTTCTTTCTCCGTCTCATTTTATTCTGCGCGTGTGTCCCAGCAGTACAACACCCCAGGGCAGCAGGAGTTTGAACCAACATTCTATATTCTATAGCCTACGACCAAATCACTGTAAATGCATCTGATATCGTTTGGGGTCTCAAACCCTCTGGCACGTGTCGTGACGGGCACTGCAAGATCCGAACGTGTCCGTCCAGTGCTCGCTGAGCTGCATTGGATTTCGGTTTCGGTGGCCCAACGAATAAATCACGAGGTCGCACTCATTGCACACCTAGTGCTCGCCACAAATGAACCGCAGTACCTTGCTGAGCTCGTCAAGGAGCGTAAACCATCGCCCGAACTCCGGTCTTCCTCGCAGCGGCGTTTGGCTCGCCATCGAACAAGCATGGTCACCGTATCGTGCGCTTTCAGGTGCGCTTCTGCGGTCGTCTGGAATGCTCCTTCCAGTATTAGGAAGCCACTGGAGCTATGCACTTGTAAATAATCTAGATTGATAACTAATTTCTTTAAAACTGCTTTTTTGTGCTTAGTCTGATGTCCTTCCCCCGCACCTTCGATTAGCGCGGTTGACTGCGTACTCCGACTTCCCAGGTGTTGTGGGAGTGGGGTTACGAGGTGTGGGCAGGAGCTCGCAGCGATGAGCGTTACCCCTCTTACCTCCCCCCCCCCCCCCTTGTATACAACTTGTTGACCTTCTCCGGGTCCTCCAGTTTCTCCCCACGTGAAGCCATCACTTGGACAAAAACATCCCAATATTACTCAGGACCCTCCTGAAAAGGTACTGAGACTGGGTCATCAGCTGGTGTTCATTGTAACTGTTATTTCCAGTACGTCAATGGTACTGTTGATATGTTTAATAAATTAGAGCAAGTAAGCATGCACGTACAGCATATGCTGTACGTATTCATGATAAACCTACGACCAAATCAATCAAAATGCTCCCGGAACCCGTCAAATCCCAGAAGCTGAGCAGGCTTTTGAGTCTGCATTGTGCCTGGAAGTGTCCCCCCTGTGCGTGCGGCAGGTTGTGCACGTTCCCACAGGGCTACGTTGTCAACAGAGGGCAGTTCAACAAAGTCCATTGTACCGTGCTATGCTCCCCACCACTGACCAGCGTGCTGAAGTTTTGTCAAATGACCCCCCGCGACCTACACAGACGGCACGGCGAGGCCATAGTCCAGCGACGGATTGACGTGCACGCGATGAACACGTGGACGCTCAACTCTGCACGTGTATACGAAACACCGCACTTAACGCGCGTTCATTTGGCGCGTGCTTTATTCCCGCACGTACGCACCACACCGTATTAGGTTTGTAACATAGCAATGTACTTTATTCTTTAAATTTCGATTTAAAGCTTTCGTGACTGCAGGGATTCATCTTCTTGGTTCTTTCAGTCTTATCGACAGACCTGTTTTTCACTTGAGGACGGCTGCTTGCGTTGTGGCCGAAACGTCGTGAGAATTATTTTATTATGTTTTATTTTTATTATTTTATTATTTCCATTCTACTTTATTCTTGTATTTTTTTTTTAGAAGACAGGGAAATGCAATCGGGAGATCTGCCTACAGGTGGCTCCCAATGGCAAATGTTGATTCATGGTCGTGTGCGGCAGCCAACAGAGCACAGAAGAGATTGGCGTGACCGGGCCACTGAATGTTTCCAGCCAAATCTTGCAAATGTGAAGTGAACGCCCGCGACAACAATGTGTTTTCCCACCTTCACCTTGCATCCATCTGCTGTTGATAAAAACCCACCACTGTCATTACACCGCGAGGAGTATATATATATGTGTATACATATGTACATATATATGTGTCTCGGCCACCTCATTACTGCAGCGTGAGCCACCGACGCTTAACGATTCGTAGCCCGCTGAACGAAACGTGACCTTCATCGTTGCGATCCGGGGATGCACCGTTAGTTAATGCGTAATCCCCCTTGCAATCACCGCACAGACTCGGTGGGGGAGCTTTGGTAGGCAGAGCTCTCCTGCCATTGCCGCTGCCCAGGGGATGCAATCAGTCCGATGACGACGGGATGCATTGATACGCAAATGCGACCGTGCTATTTTCCGAGGCGAGTGACGGGCAACCCCCGTTTAATTTTTTTTGGCGCGCGCACGCGCACACACACACACGCGCACACACACGCGCGCGCGCACACACTCACACGCGCGCACACACGCGCACACACACGCGCGCGCGCACAAAAAATGTCACCACATGGGAACCGGGGCGCCCGGAATAAATCACACGCTGCCACGGCCGTTTTAATTCATCAGGTGCAAGATTCCTCTCTGGTCACTGGGGGACCGCAGGTGGCCTCAACCTTTGATCCGCTATACGCGTGCGTGCGTGCGTTGCACACGTGCGCTTGATCCCCCCCCCCTTGCCCCTTTGGGGAACTCGATCCACTTAATGTTGCCAAAGAGAAAGAGAAAAGAGAAATCCACCCTCTCAGCTGTTGACTTCAACCGGCCCGGGAGGGAGGAGGGAGGGAGGACACTTCCGCTCGCAGCTAGCACCGTTCTTTTCCCCTCTTGCTCATTACCGGATTACTCCGCGAACCCAGAAGCATAATTTAAATGCAGCGTGAGGCGTTTTGGGGGGTGGGGGGGGGGGGGAGATGAGCAATTTGGAGCCGCAAAGGGAATTCCGGGAAGGGGGGGGGGCTCGCCGGTCAGGCCCCCCCCCCCCCCGTGAGCTTCAGCGCTGCCGGCTCAATTAGCGGATGCCGCGCGTGGCCCACGATTCGCGTTAGATCTCCGCCGTGTGCTTTCACGCGGTGGCGGTGGTGGTGGTGGCGGTGGTGGCGGTGGCGGTGGTGGCGGCGGTGGTGGTGGTGGTGGTGGCGGTGGTGGTGGTGGCGGTGGCGGTGTTGGTGGTGGCGGTGGTGGTGGTGGTGGTGCCCCGCGCCGTTCGGCCTCGCCCTCATCGACAGTTTCTGATCCGTGTGCCGAGAAGCTTCGTGGGGGGACTGAAGCAGCTCGGCACGTGGACTTAAACGTCGGAAATGCATGCCAACCGACAACACTTTTGTATGACCCACAAACTCTTACGTCGGGGGAACGAGAGAGCACAACCGATCTCAAAACTGAATATTTCTCCATCAATTATGACATACATCCTTGGCAATGTTTGGCCATAAGAATGTTAAATTAGTTTTTGTTGTGCACTCCTGCGCATGGATATGTATCTGCTTGTATTAATATATTAGCATATTTAATTGTTTATGTATCTGTTTAGTTATTTATTCACCATTTAAACTACTAATGTACAAATATTTTGACAATGTCTTTTACTGCGTAAAAAAATCGTAGATTAAAGAATGACAAGATGTGGATTGTAATTTGCAAGCATTCTACAACGAGGGCTGAAGATTCCATTCCAGTGGAACAACATCTCCCCACATCTCCCCCACTAAAAACTAAATTATTTATGCAGCCCACCCGACCGCTTCAGTCTCCCAACACAACCCTCATTACCATTCTCCCATCCACCCTCATTAGACAGTCGCGGTCCCTTGACGTCAACTGGAACGACCGAGCTGCGGGCAAAGCCCCCCCTGTCTCCCCACCTGTCCACACGGAGACCTCCAAGCACCAGAGTGGACCAGCCGCCGCTGTCCAGGTGCTGAAATCGCCGCCGTCGTGTACGCCCGGTTGCCCCTAGCTCTGCACCGCACCAGCGAGAGCCCCAGCGTGCTGGCGCCGCAGCCGCCCAGCGCCCAGTGGCTGTAGGAGGAGGCGCCCCTGCTGGTGTGCGCCGCTCGGCAGGGCTGCGTGCGGTGCAGGTAGCACCAGAACACGGTGGTGTCCGTCTGCAGGCTGGAGCTCTGGCCTGCGGGCGGAACGGCGCTCTCCGGGTGCGACGCGGCGGTGACCTCTTCGCTCATTTGGCTCGGCAGTCTGGCACGCGCTTGAGCGGCAGCTCCTTGACGTGTCTCCGGCGAAGTCGGAATGATGCCGCCACTGCCGCCGCCGACAATACCCGAGCCTTCGCAGGACGGCTGAATCTGTTCGCTGGGGCTCGCTTGCTTGGACTCGTGCTGTCTCAGCTGCTCCGCTTCCGCGTGGACACTGCGTTTCGCGTACTCCTCCTTGCGCGTGGCGCTCGTGGTCTGTGCCACTGCCCGCGACGGACCTGGCATCGGGCGCTCTTGCCACGACGCTGGCTGCTCCACCCACCTTGACGTCCCAGCCACTTGGTCGGCAGTGGGAGTGCCGGGGACCTCGACCGGTATCTGTCGGACCAGCACGGGCTTGTAGGCCTTGCCGAAGTCGTGCTCCTGCGTGTGGACGTGCAGCATTCCCGACACCCGCTCGGCCAGACTCGTCTCCTCCCTCACGCGTTTCTGCTGCTGCTTCTCCACCGTGATGTCGAGGCTGCTGGCGGGTGACAGCAGCCTCTTTCCCGCGGCGGAGATGGGTCCCAACGGGGGAGGGCTCATCTGCTGCAGAGGGGTGGTGGGCCTCTGTGGAGGACACATGGTGGGGCTTGCCGGGCGGACGGGCATTTCGATGTTGGGAGACAATGAACTCTGCAGGGGGCTCATGAGCACGGGCTTGCTCCCCGTCAACGCCGCCTGCACCAGAGCCCCGGGGAATTGAATCTGGTCAATCTGTGGAGTGGCTCTGAACTCCTCCGGCTCTCCGGCCAAATATTCCACGCGCGACAGGTGTGCGAACGACGCCGTCCCTTGAAACGGCTGCGCCGACTGTCCCGCCGATTGCCTTCCGTGAGAGGGAGACATCAAAAATATCCTCGGCCTCTCGGTCACGCTGCACGGCGCGGTGACCGGCGCCTGCTCGAACGCCGCGTTTCCCGCGGACTCCGGCGGGGACCGCGTCGACGACGCCGTCTCCGCTGGTGCCGCGTGGCACTCGTGTGCCGGCGTCCCCGGCCGCGCGGGAGAGAGCGCGGCGGCGCCGGGGTGCTGGGCTCCCGCGCCCGTGGGCAGCGCGTAGCAGGGGTGCAGCCGCCCCTCTGCCGGGGAACTTGAGCCGGGTCTCCGAACGTCCGCGCCGGGTTGCGGCTCCCGCTGCCTGGACCCTTCCGGCGGCTGCCCGCCCTCGCCGAGTGGCAGCGGAGGCGCGGGTTGCGCGTGCGGCTTCCTCGCCAGAGGCTCGCCCGAGAAGATCATGGAAATGGGTTGCGTCGACGAACTTGGTCCTGGGACTTCAGAATCGCCAGCAGCAGGAGGGGCAGCAGCGACAGGAGCCGGAGCGCAGGGCGGATTCGGAACGGGCACGGCGGCTCCACCGGCGGAGGGCGTCGTGTCGAAATGCAGAGTTTGTGGCAGCGTGCCGTGAATGACGCCTTCCTCCAGCCGGCAGAAGACCAGCGCTGGCTGCGCGTTGAGCGTAGACGTCATGAAAATCTGCGGCAGGGTGGCGGCGTAAATGGCGTAGCCCATGGACGAGCCACTCGTCTGGACTCTGATTGGCACGAGGACAGAAGCCATCGGTTGCAGGAACGCGGGCGTGTGTGACAACACGAAGGTGTCGAGCTGCTGAGCGGGGGGGAACGCCGGAGAGGCCATCACAGGGATCCCCATAGAGCTGGACGCCTCTTGCGCTTGCAACGAGTAGGCCACGGGGCTGCTTGGGGAGAGCACGTACTGCGACTGCTCCTGCGGCTGGTATCCAGGCACGTACTGTGGCTGTGGGTGCAGAGCTTGTATCACGTGCTGGGCGGACGGAGGTTGGGACAAGATCTGAGCTCCTTGTAGCCCCCGCTCCACCGGATGGGCCCTCTGCATCGGGTACTGGTGCCATTGCTGTTGAAGTGCAGGTGACGGCAGGTGCATGCCCTGCTGTGCCAGCTGCTGCCGCTGCTGCTGTTCGACGGAAGACTGCCTCGGCACCGGTTGCTGCAAGTGCAGCTCCGCCGCCTGGTGGAACTGCGGCACTTGCAGTGGAAGCTGTATCACCTGCTGCCCGTGCAGGGGTCTGGCCACCTGTTGAATGGACAGCATTTGGGGCAGGGCCTCTGGGAGAAGGGATCCACGCTGGGACCAAACTTGAGGATACCCCGTTTGCATCGGCAACGGACTCGGTGCCGGCGACCCGTAGCGATAAACCATTTCGGCTGGCAGCTGGGTAGCGGGCTGCTGCGGTCGTGGCTGAGAGTGCTCCGCTAAGCCTGCGTGGTGATGTTCCTGGGCTTCGGTGGATGCCGAGAGCGAAGCCTGTCGGGTCAGCGGGCTCCTCCTCGGCTCCTCCTCGGCGGGAGATGCAGCCGCTTGGCGATGCATGACCGACATCGCGCCGATGTCCAGCGATTTGCTCCGGATCTCCGTCGTGAACTGGGAGGTGCCAGTAGAACCCACGGCCTGTTCCGACACGGCCCTCCGGAGCTCGGAGTGGACGCTCGGCACCATGAGCCTGTGGCTGCAAGTCGGGACAGTGAGATAGTGGGTGGATTTGCTGGTGAAGTCTTGCTTTGGAGGCAACCCGCTCGACGTCATGGCCTCCTCTCGGTCTATGGAAGTGGACAAGCCGGAGCAGTGCGACAGAGAACTCTCTCTGCTTAGGCTCCGGCCGACTGAGGAATCGGTGCTCGACTCCAGCGACGATAGTCCCATCTCTGCGAGCCGGAGCCTCTTCTTCTTTGGCGGAAGCTTTTCGGCTGGAAGTTGAGACAGAGTTTCACTGCGCATTGGCCAGCAAGACTCCTCCTGCGCTTTCTCCTGCTGCTTCGCCTCCTCCTGCTCCTTCTCCTCCGTGACAAGTATCTCGGGCACCTGAATGTTCGGCTGCCTCACCAGCTTGTGCAGCTGGTGCTGGGGTGACGTCGCGTAGACGAGCGGCCTGCCGGGGTCGAGCGGGGGAGCCTCTTTGTGCTGCGCTGTGGCCGAGGAAGCCACATCGCTCTCCGTGGACTCCATGGCTTCCAGTGAGCTTGGCCTGCTGAGCGACTTCGTGTGCTGAATAACAGAAATCTGCCCGCCGCCGCCGCCCTCGTGCTGAGACGACCCTTCAGAGCTCGCTCTCTCGAAGCCCCCGCTTGTCTCCGCGACGGGTGGCTGGGCTTGGGCCCCGGCCTCAACGGCAGCGGTGCCCCGAGGCTCGGAGGCCGACTCGAAGCTCATTTGCGTCTCGACTTGCGGCGGCGCCTTCGCAGGCTGGGGAGGGGGCCTCGCCGGGCCGGCGGCGGCCGTGGCCGGGCAGCGCGCCGTGTGGCCGGGGCGCGCGCCCCTCGCGGGCGCCTCGGAGTGCGACGCGGGTTCGCCCGTCGCGGGGCCGAGCTCGGGGCCGAGCGCGTTCTTGCCGGTGTCTTCCGCCGCCAGGGCGTCCTCCTCGCTGCCCAGGCTCTTCTCCTTGCGGCGCTTCCTGATGAGGTGTGCGCGCTTGAGCACCGTGCCCGGGTACGACACCTTGTAGTGCATCATCTGTGGCTGCTCGCGGCCCTGCTGGGTGACGGACGGCCGCCTCCGCGGGGCGTGCAGCTCCGAGCAGTAGTACTTCTTGTGCGCTTCGAACTTCTCCAGCTTCCTGTACCTGGCCCGGCACGTCTCGCACTCGTACATGAGGCCCTTGCCTCGCGGCAGCCTCTGCAGCCGCCGCGCGGCCTCGCTCGTGCCCGGCGTCTGTGGCGGCTCTTGCTCCAGCGACCTGCTCTTGGTGGCGGAGAGCTGGCCGGCGCCGCAGGAGCCCCCCTCCTGCACGCTCTCTTCGGCGGACAGAGTCTTTTTAACGCGCGTGGCGGTTCTCGCTGGGAGCTCGAACGCTTTCTGCCTGACCAGTGGACGGTGGTGCGAGGCCATGGCAGAGAGATTGGGATCGGAGACGAACACATCGTCGTACTGGGAAGCAGACATCCGCTCGTCGAACGAGTGGCTCTCCCTCGTCATGCTCGACGCCCGGGGCTCAAAGAAGCCCGCCGTCGAGTAGCCCGCCACGGCCGGCATGGAGTTGCTGCGCGTCACGGACAGGCCCTCGGTCGCGCCGTAGCTCTGCGGCACGTTGAGCAGGCATATGGTCGACTTGGACACGTCCGCGGACATGGACTGCCGCTGCGACTCCAGGCCCGAGCCGGCGCTCGGCTCGCCGGTGCCGAGCGGCCGCAGGTCGAACTGGAACGAGTCCTTGAAGGTGTACGGCCTCGGCGAATCGATGCTGCCCTTACGAGTCAGCGAAGTCCTCCTGGGCTTTACGCTGTCCAACTCAGTGTTGTCGATGACGGCCTCGTTTCGGGAAATCAGCTTGTTGATGTGCTCTTCGAGGCTGTCACCCGTGGGTCCCTTGGAGGACGCGGTGAGGACCAGCGAGTGCTTCTGCGGCAGCATCAGGGGGCTGGGCGCGAGGAGGCTCGACCTCGTGCTCACGTTCTTGCCCAGCACGATCTCCTTGTACGACTGGGGGTTGGCGCTGCCGGGCTGCTGGTCCGCGCTCTCCGACCGGGAAAAGTACCCCGAGTCCGTGCTGCCCTTGCTCAGCGAGCTCGGCAGGTCGGAGCCCTTGCCGTGGCATTGCTGCAGCGCCAGCTCCATGTCCCGCCTCTTGCGGTCCGGCGAGCGTATTGCCAGGGCGAGCTTCATCTTCACCAGCTGGTGCGCCTCGGACCTTTGCGAAGACGACGACGATGTCGGCAGGCGGCTCCTGCTGCCTGGGCTCGGCGAACTCGACGACGCTCTCGGGGGCCTTCGCGTGCTCGATGATGACGGTGGGCAGAGGGGAAGACACGCTGGGCGCGGACTCGAGCGAGTAGCTGCCGCCATGCCTCGCGGAATCCAGCGACCCTTGGGAGGACATCGACCGCAGGAGGTTAGGGCAAGAGGAGAGCAGGGCGGCTCTCCCCTGCTCCTCCTCCGTGTCCGTGCTCTCGCCGGCTTCAGACCGGACCTCGGTGTCAGATCTGCTGAAGGAGGTGCCGGCTTCGGACAGGCTGCCGGAGTGCTCCGCACTGCTCGTCAGGCGAGCCTTCAGCGCGTGCGTGTGCGACTTCATGTGCTTGTAGAGGTTGCTCTTCGTTTTGAAGGAGAACCCGCACGTGACGCAGGGGTATGGCCGCTCTCCTGTGTGCGACCTGATGTGCTTCTCCAGCACACTCGGTTTTGCACACGCCCTGCTGCAAAAAGGGCATATGTATTTTCCTGGCTTTTTTGGCTTCTTTTCCTTCTGCTGCTGTTGTTGTTGCTGTTGTTGTTGCTGTTGCTGCTGCTGTTGTTGCTGCTGCTGCTGTTGCTGCTGCTGCTGCTGTTGTTGCTGCTGCTGCTGTTGCTGCTGCTGCTGCTGTTGTTGCTGTTGTTGTTGCTGTTGCTGCTGCTGTTGTTGCTGCTGCTGCTGTTGCTGCTGCTGCTGCTGTTGTTGCTGCTGCTGCTGTTGTTGCTGCTGCTGCGCTGGCTCTGAAGGCCCGGGTGGCGGCGACTGAATCACACGTGACGGCACGGCAAATTGTCCATACAGAGGAACTACGATGTGGGCTGTGGAAGGAACGTCTTGAGCTTGCGAGGAAGTGCAGGGCTGCGGCAGAGATTCGGACAAGACCTGCAGCTGAGGCTGTGGCTGGTGAGCCAAGACGAGCGACGTTTGCTGAAAAGAGGTGTGCTTCTGCTGAGGCTGTTGCTGTTGTTGCTGTTGCTGCTGCTGCGTAGCTTCTCTCGTCGACATATGTGCTACATTCGAAAAGCTACTTTGTCCTGGTAACGCAGGCTGCAGGAAAGCCATTTGGGGCTGAGCCTTAGCTGCTGGGAGCTGACCGGTGTCCCTTGTTTCTTGGCCTTGCGATGGATCTTTCGATGAGAGTTCAGAGAGCACGGTGGTGGTGGCGACTGCGGCAGCGGCTGTGTCGGTGGTGGCGGCGGCAGCGGCGGTGGCGGTGGAAGGGTCTCTCTGGTTGGGATCAGACTCCATGGCTGTTAACAAGGCCTCGAGGGGAGCGGCCTTCGATAAATCTGCGTTGACTTCCACTACGTTGCACAGGGGGGGTTTACAGTTCTTGGCCACCTTGGCCTGCGCGTCTGGACTGGCAGGAAAGCGTAGCGGCGGCGGCAGTGCAGCATCCCTCGGAGGCTCGGGCAGTAACTCTTCCCCATCACACACCGGCTCCCCTGTTGCAGCGTTCTCGTTACCGACTGACTCCGCCTCGCTCTCCACGCGCGGCCAGGCCTGCCGTAAAACAGCGCGTCGCTCCTCGCTTATTTCGGTCGCAGGCTCATCGCTCACGCAGCCCCGGCGAGCCGGCAGGCTGGTCTCTGCTAAAACAGATTGCTTTTTGGCTTCGCTTTCCACGTTTCCATTTTGCACCGAGGCGGCAGCAGGAGCGTGGCTTTCCTTGGGATCGGTGGCCGGCTCACTCCCACGTTCTCTATCATCCTCACCCACTCCCTGTCCCCTTAAAGCTGATGACCTTTCCTTGATGAGATGTTGCTTGCTCTGCCTTTGCACTGCGACTTCACTCCTCCTGTCCTTTTTCTGGTGCTTCTTACACGCGGTCCCTTTCGTGTCCTTTGAAACGTTCACGCTGTCATTTCCTGCGAAGACACCAAAGGACACGTAAATCAACCGGCAGGATCTTTAAGCCATTGACAATTATTGACACACTGCACGTCACGGGGGTACAATTAGCCAGCTACACAGCGTACGCAGATATTATAATGCAATAACAGGCTGTGTAACAGACAGGAAGGAGCAAGAATCACTGTGGTCTCAAATTGATGTGGTCTCAAAATGATTCCCTGTACAAGTGACATTCAATTCAGCGCATGATGTGTATCAATTATTTAAAAAACAGGATAAATAATTTAAAAATATGAATTACGCTATTAAAGAATGGAAATGAAAAAAAGGTCACTCGCAGCAAGTAGGTCATCGGTTAACAGGAAAATATAACAGTTGACTTTGCATTTTCAATTGCAGAGCCCGAAATTGACGTTTTTAAATGCGTGAGTGTGTTTGTACCACCGCGCACACAACAAGAACGACAACAAAAAACGCCAACCGCCGTGTGACGTTTAACTGAAGGATTCCGACAGCTTTGCTTTCGCGTTCTGCCTCCCTGCACGTCGACGCGAAGCTAAAGCCACGTGGCAGCACGCGTCACAACGGCAAGGACCCCCCCCAACCCCCCAGCTCATTTATTTATTTATTACCCCCTCTCCCCCCCCCCCCTCCCCCCCCCCTTGCTTTGCCACAAACAAAACACACGGGGCCGTTACACTTAACACTGACCGTGGCGTGCGGAAAATATATTTTTTTCAAGCGGGCTTTGTGACGGCTCCGCGAAACACCCCTTTGGGACAGAACCGTTGAACGCAAAACAATTTGAGTTTCTTTTGGGTTTGGCACGCAGTTATTTTTTATTGCCCGCGTTTACGTGACGGCATCCCTATTTTGAAATATCGGCACGTTCCAATAATTAGTATATATATGCGGAGCGCTTTGATTCCATGCGCGTTCCAGGATCGATCGAGTCAGTAGGCGTGTGGATCTTAATCAATCCGATAATGTGTGTGTGTTTTTTTCTGGCACAAATGTCTCACATTAATAATAATTAAGAGAATAAACCATTACGGATGGTACTTAACTCAAACAATTAACTTAAAGCCCTACGTCAATCCGCTTTCCGATGTTTACCTTTCAATAGGAAAGTGGTGTTGTGGTAACTTTATCACCCAGCCCCTACTGGACGTCTGCGAAAAAGAGCTTTAAAGCCCATCGGATTCCACCAGAGTGCATTCACGGACGTGTAATAGAGAGTGCAATGGGTCTTGGCTATCCTGAAATCGGCGAGGCTGCCGAAATGACGTGGCTGGTTAGAAGGGGGGCAATGTTGTCTCCTGCCTGCCACCAGCAGACAATCACCACCGTCAACCACTCCGCGCTTGAACGAGAACAAATCCTCGTAATTGCCTCCACTCAGCGGTCACACCGACGTAAAGGAACAACTGAGACAAAGGACACGAAAGCACGACGCGTAATCGAAAGCAATTATACAGTCCCTGAAAATAGCCAACCGATTCGCTGATTGCTGCTTCTGAAGTTGCCAAGGGGATCCCGCTCGCAACGATTTGGCTTCCAGCGGGTGGTGGCTTTTCATTCGCGGGATTTCTCCCTCGCGGTTCGCGCAGACGGCGGGAGCAGCAGACGCGTCACCAATGAGGCGCCCTCGCCGGAATACCACGTGCAGCACTTTGCCAGTCTGCACGAAGCCACTAAGCGTTCTCCTTCACCCACGAGCGCGTGCTTACACTCGGCGGCAGCATTAGCTCAGGTGTCGCAGACGCCACGGCCTTTATATGATGATTTGCACCAAATTGTCTGTTGCGTAACGCTGCACTCGGAGGCTCGCCCGCACTGCCCCCCCCCCCTACACGGCAACCCCTGCGGTGCCCTAAGAAGTACATTTACAATTTTCTTGGTTCTTTCGGTAAAGTCAAGTAGACTGGAAATAATAAAAATAAAATATAAAATAATTCTCACGACGTTTCGGCCACAACGCAAGCAGCCGTCCTCAGGTGAAGAACAGGTCTGTCGAGAGAATTATTTTATTATGTTTTATTTTTATTATTGTATTATTTACATTTACAATGTTTCCTTGAACAACAGAAGCTATGCGGAGAGTTGGCAAGTGTGTGCCCCTTACTTCACAAAACTGAGGTTCGCTGGAACTCATCTCGGCCTCTCGATCGCCACGTTTGAGGCCACGGCACCGCTTGCCGGCACCGCTACCGTGAAGGGACTGATGTCCTTTTGACAGGCCTGGCCAATTTACTGCGGCTGCTTGCGCGAAAAGCCTGCTGTTACCCACCACAGGGTGAGAGGCAATGCGTGCGTGGGCGCGTCAGCTCCGCGAAAACACAAAATGAGATCAGCTCGCTCATGTAACGCCGTACACGTAAAAAAAAGAGATAAAGGGGCAGCCCTGCAGTTGCCTGCTCGCGCCAGTGCTGCTGGAAGGTTCCTGCCCAAAAGAAAGCTCTACGTAATCCCCGTCTGGAGCGTCTATTTTGGCCTACTCTTCCACGCTGGGCAGCACCCGTCCGTGTTTTTGCTCCTCCACACGCAACTTGCTCATCGGCTAACTGCGGTGACCCCATCCAGACTGCTGCTGCTGGGTGGACAGAGGCGGGGGATTGGTTTCAGCTGCCACAGCAGGAGATTGAACTCGTGATCTCTGCAGTCCAGTGCGCTAACCATCACACCGTGGCAGCATCCCTACATTGTAGCAATTATAGATGTATCATAGATGTATGAGGAGCGCAAACCGCAATCCTATGCACGATACAGCCATGCATATGTTCCATAATTTATAGTTGCGATCGGAGCTGGGATGATTCAACGATTAAGTCAAATAATCAATCAAAAATTATATTTGCCTATAACCTACCGGCCAGCGGCACATGTGGGACAGAGGTGGTGACATTCCCCCAATTATGTTAGCCTTTTCCGATTAGTTGAACCATCAACTCGGTCGAAGAATCGAATACTTATATAGTCAGATAACCCACCTCTTGGTCATCATATACCAATCCCCTCTGTCATAGCGGTATACAGGAGGTTGTGGGTTCTATCCAGACCCTGACGGCTGTATATATTTGGAGTTGTACGTGTTCTCTCTGCCCGTGGTGACGTGGATTTTTATCTGGGTCCTCTGCTTTTTCCCTCTAAGTTTAGAAATACGCGTTTAGAGTATTTGGCTGCTATAAATTTCCACGCGATAAGCCACTTCGTTGAGCCATCATTTGTGGTGGCCAGGCCGCTTCTGAAAAAAAGAGCTAAACAGCTCAGTGGGCCTTATCTGGTGAAATAAAAAATTGTAAATGCTTTTAGACTCAACAGGGCTCGCCGATATTCCCTTGAACCACGGAGATTTACAGCGTAGCACGAGGGGCCGGGGGGCGAGGGGGATGTCCAGCATGGACATGCCCAATGCGGTCCCATCAGTGCCATAGCAAGGGTGGGGCGGGCGGCATGAACATCTCTCTCGAAGGTTGCGCAGCCTGAGTCTGTAGTCGAATTGTAAGCAGTGGCGGCTGGGGTAGTTTAAATATTTGGTGGCAGGAGGGTGGTGGTGGTAGTGGTGCTGCTGCTGCTGCTGCTGGGAAAGCGTGATAGTGGCACCTGGCACCTTGCCCAGTGAACTAAGGTGTCTACCTACGGCTCTTAAGTTCCAGAAGGCAGCTCCCCTCGAGGCATCGTTAACATGATAAATGTCTATATCGCAACAATGAGATTTATTGATTGCAGCTCAGCGTAGCAGCCGGTGATTAATTTCAGCCAGGTACAGTCTGGAACGCTGTTTGGGAATTGTTTATAAACCTGTTTATAGGATTTGTATGAACTTGTTCATGACATCTATAGTACAGGTGTTTTGGATTAGATCGTGTTCTAACCGAAACAAAACCTGTATTATGCATAATATTGGTCGCGAAAGCCTATGTGTTAAATTGTTCATAAGAGTATAGAAATATAGGGTATAATAATGGAGGATTATTATGGATACGTATACCTTATACGCTAGTAATAGTGCCTTATGCCGATAGTCGCTACTCCAAGCCAGCCTGTGAGCATTACAAAAACTACCGAGTGAGTGATTAAGCCCTAGTGGCTGCACGACGTATGAATGTGATTGATTGGCGAGGAAGACAAGATTGGTGGATCACACAGAAATGGGGTGTTCATGTGCACAAGACACCGAGCCACAAGACGTGGCCGGGTGGCTCAGAAGTCAGAGCACAAAGCCAGCACTGTTGAGACCTGCGTTCGAATCCAGCTCTCAGCGACTGATGATTAAAGTGGGTAATTAATCGTAGTGGACTAATGGGTTTAGGTCCTGTTAACAATGACTGAAATAAACAAACCATCACCTCCAATTAGTTTTTTTTTACTTAATCTTGCTAAGTTGTAGCTTTGAGATATACACATATAGATATAACATCAGTTTGACTTCCACATAAGAAGCATTTCCTGCCTAGCAGGGTGTGTGGGCAGTGTGACCCATGGAAATATTTTTCCGTGGGCTGTTCTCGAACGCACGGGGGTGTTCTGTGAGTGTTCCAAGTGGGTTCTTACTTGACATCACCCTCGCAGAACAACTGGATGAACGTGTGTTTGGTATTGCACATCTTTTACAATGATACCTGAATGTTGGACCAAAATTATTTCTCCTAACCAAATTTGGTGGGCGATACAGAGATAAGTTGTCCGCCACAATGTTTTTTGGGGCAAATCTTGATCAAAAGAAAGCAATGTGTGATACAAAAAAAATCAATTCAGCACTCATGCCATAGGGTTCCAAAAATATTGACTTATCCATCGACCGTTGCTTGCCTTCCAGCTAAGAAACAGTCCATGTCAAATGACCAACTAATCAACACCAATAAAGTCATCTTCTTTGACTCCTGAAGCAAAGTAACACAGGAGTTTCAACTTTCGCATTATAATTCCCGTGCGTGAGACGCTCACACCAAGATAAGTTAATTACCGCCGCAATACTCGTTCAATAATGACCACAATTAACTTGTTTCGGGGATGATTTAATTTACAACAAAAATGATTTACTGCGCTTGAGCTGTAATGAAAACGTTGTAATTATAATGTCTTATTATTAGAAATAAAGCTTTTATGGAAATACTCAAGTGTTTTGCTTGAAAAAAAAACTTTGACCATTACTATAAGTTTAGGCAATTCAATATAAAATATGTATCCAGCAGTGAATTGCTAGTATATGGCAATACATTCAGATTCACATTCATTTGTAACAAAAACATGAAATTGATGACAATGATGAAAAAAACATGAACGTTAAAGAGAAAATGAACACCAATGCAGCAGTACAACTTATGAAGATAAAAAAAAACTTTATTGGATTATACCTATAGAAAATTGTACCAGTTATCGTATAATTTCCGGGCCCACCATCCACCAAAAAACACTGACAAGTATGGTGAAGTAAGGTCAAACAACACCCACGGCCAACACAGTAGGGAAGGCCTTTATACAAGAGTAGAATTTGACAAAGGGGCTGTACTTTGAAAAAAAAATATTACATGCATCAGAATGTGATAGAAGACATCATTTATTTATGTTTCAATGTAGTGTATGATTGCAACTAAATGCGGCTCATATTGTTGAACATCCAATTATATGTATTGATGTTCTTTATTTATTCACAGGTAAGACCCCCTTGAAAATGAATGACCTCTGTTGCCAAAGAGGCTTGGATAATTGGGTAGTAATTAACACGCACAATGGAGTTAAAGGGGTGTGTGTGTTTTTTGTCACATATATAATCCTTTTTTTCGCTATGACTCTGGCTCAGGATGTGCCTGCCTACCGTCATGAATTCTCAGAGGCGCTTTAAGATTTCACTGCAACGCTTAACAGCGTGATGCCTTGGTAATTCCCGCAACAACAAAAAAACATTCCAACAGGTTTAAGGGTTCAAAATAGCTGCGCGACATGACTGGTAACGAACGAGAAACGAATTGGATTTTTAAAAGAAATCCAACCCCATTACGCACGCGCACGCACGCCACAAACACACGCGCGTTCACATTCTCAGCCATCCCGTGCCTGCCGCTCAGAAAGAGAATATCGCCTCATTTGGGCTTCCGGCGGAAAGATATAAAAAAAAGATGTGGGCTATTGAAGAGCAGCACATCGCGCCGGGGAGTCAGATGACTCAGCGCGCGAGAAGCCAAGCGCGTGGGCTGTGCCACGACGGGCTCCAATGAAAAGGGCATTCTGTTATCTGTGCAGGGGAGCGGGGGAGTGCGTCTCGGCTCAGCGACAACTCGTTGCCTCTCTACGAGGTGTGCACGCGGAATGGGGGATTCTACCTCCGTGAATAATTAAGTCCTCCCACCCCATCCCGCCAGATCGCACGCGCGCGCATGACGCTGTGGGCTTTTCCACCCACGCAACGGAGTTATTTTGAGGCACGGCCCCTGTTGCCGCCTCTTGCTCCTCCATCCACCCACCAGCCCTCCTCACTCCTCCCCACGCTCCCCGCCAACCCCACCATCTCCTCCCCCCCCAACCACCACCACCACCACTACTCAACAAACCAGCGAGGCAACCTGCCCACCCAGATGGTGTGAACCTCTTTGCTCCTCCGCTCGAGGCTGTAAAATTGGACTACTCATTTATTTAGCCATTGTACACAAATATAGTAAATACACGCGGGTAAAGGCGCGGCCCTGGGAATTCCCTGATCTCACCACTGCTGGCGGAAAGGCCTCCGTTAGAAGGAGTTCCAGAGGAGAGGGTATTTTGGCCTATTATTCCCCCATTGGCCAGACGCCTTTGAAAAGTTGAAAGTACCCATAATTGACTCCTGCACATGCGACCTACCGATCGACTGAACAGCGGTGAACCCATTTATATTTCTGAGTGGACAAAGATTGAGGGGGCGGGCGGGCGGGCGGGGGGGGGGGGGTTAGGAAACTTGCCCCATTGTCTTAAGTGCTGCACTGGGAGATTGAACCGGTGACCTCCAAATCGCAAGTCAATGGTTGATAGCCATTACAAAATTGCAGCATCTCACATACAGAAGGTGGCCCAAAAGTCAGGACACATAGGGCTCGTATATTAATTTAAATATAAAAAAAATCGCATGGGGTTATTTTATTTATTTTAACACATGTCCAAACTGACTTCCATTAACATTAACGCATGTGTGAATGCTTTTCAGAAATTTATTTCTAAAACTTTTTGGGTAAGGTTCACCAAATATGTTTTGACAACCCCCACAGGAAGAAGACAAAGAGACATTCGTGATGATAATAGATGAAGTGTTAGCTTCAAGAATAAACAATACATTTTGTCTAATGCCTGTGTTGAAATAAATTACACAACCCCCATATGTCCTGATTTTTGGCTCACCCTGTTTACCCATTAAAATAGTTGCCTAGGGAGAAAAAAAACAACAAAAAATGTAATGGTATGCTTCTGTGCATCCTTTATCGAGTGAAAACTAACACAATTAAAACCACTTTTATTAAATCTACACGGACTCGTCAATAGCACACTTACTTAACGCTCACATAGAGTACGTTTATTTATAAAGAATCAGGTGAGGGCCCATTACCTGTCCGTGTAATGGGCCCTCAATTTATCACTTGCACATTTTTAATAGCCTTTCAATGCAGGTAATTGAAGCCACAACGATCGGTAATTGCACTCTCTAAAATGAAAAAAAAATGGAGCAATCAATTTCCCCAAATCATATTTGTGGACATTTATCACCGTTTGGTGGCGGCTTGAGTAAGCCGCGGCAATTGGCGAATACGGCTGTAATAGGCCCTTAACGGGGCAGTCAAGTGGCCCATTTTATTTTGACGTTCGAGAAGAAACACGGGGACCACTTTCTGGAAGGATTGCGAGCAAGTGGCCAAGCGTAGGAAAGTGTTGGCTGGGAGACAGCCCTGGACGAAGAAAACAAATGTAAATTACAGAGACAAAGGCCCACCCACCTTCCGATAGCCGTTAACAGACTGTTGGAGCGAGTGCTATCAATGATCAACTGCGAAGGACAACACCACGCCCGGCCGCCTCTGTCTCCCCAGTGCAGATGTTTAGTGTTGCACACCGGATGGGGAGGGCAAGGACCGATCCAAATTATCGCCACAAGTTATTGGTCGTGTGCAGGAATCGAACTCGGGTCGACGGGTGCGCTAACCGCCACGCCACCGCTCCCCCCCCCCCCCCACAATTGTAAGTAAGTAACAAGCGCTCGTTGACAATCGCAAACGCGCAAAGGCAAGCCATTGGCACTGCCTTGGGATCTTCAAAATCAATCTGTGGGTCGGGTGTTGAGTGATTGCGAATAAGTGTGCCACATCAATCAACATCTCCGGCATAGGACACATTATCGGCGCGTTACAGCTGCAGACCTAATAATTATTGTCTGCGTTGGAGGCGCCGCACGTGTGGGACTGGCAGAATAAGAAGACGAAGAGACAGAACGGACACCGCAGAGTGCGCGGCTTAGAGATGATCACGGCTGCTGTAATTGCAGATGTAACGTATGAAGGAATTTCATGGGTAAATCCACTTGCTTGTTATCGGGAATATTTTTTATACGTATCGAGATGGATAAATAAACCATAGCAATATTTAATGCCTTTAGACGCTTTAAAATTATATTTTTTTCAATAATAACGAACTGCAATTGCCCTAAAACTTAGTGTGGATTTTTCATGTATGTACATGAGCGTATTACACTTCGATCTTGATTTGAAGCTTTCGTGCCTGCAGGGATTCCATACTCTTTGGTTCTTTCGGTAAAGTCATGTAGGTATAAAAATAAAATAAAATAAATCACGACGTTTCGGGTGCAACATAAGCGTCCGTCATCAGGTGGGAAAGCATGGCCTGCTGCTGATGCATAAAAAATACCAGCTTTAAGTTTACATGCGTTGCTTTATTTCATTCATTCATTGTTTAAGGCCACAATATTAAATATGTTTGGCAGAGGAGAGTGGTGGAGCTGTGGTTAGCTGTCAACCCGGCGATCAGAATTTTATTTCCAGCCACAGCTAACATCAGTAGCAAGTGGTATCTGACCCAGGCATTCCATTCCCACCCCACACCCCTCCTCCCACGTCTCTCTTTTCACCAACCTACACTGACCAGCACAGTGAAGTATCGTCAAACAACCTCCACAACCAACGCAGCACGGGGAGAGCCTTCATCCAGCAGTGGACTGAAAAAGGACTACCAATTTTTGTCGACACAGAGGAGATTGTTTCGTTACCTGTGCCGCTTGTGTTGATCTGGTTGTCGGGATCCTGCAGTTCCTTTTTGGCCTCTTCAATTTTATCTAAGCAAGAAAAATTCCAGAGTCAGAGGACGAAGTGGGCCACATTGCAGCCAGTCCGACAGGCCTCCGTTGGAAAAGGCATCGGCGCGGGGGATGAGACATTGCGGAACGAAGTATTTTTCTTACGCGGAAAGAAAAACACGGATGAATCATCTCCCGGCCCTCGAGCACCGCTGTAGGGATGAAGAATAAGGTAGGCAGCTCTCCAAGAACATTCCTACACCTCAATTGTGCAAGCAATGAAAAACAATCAATAGCCCTTTCCATGGCCATCTGGGAGCCGCGAAGGCCACAGGAAGCTGCTCACCGCCCTTGGCAAAGGGGGGGAGGGGGGCAGCCTTTGGTTGCTGCTGCACCTCGGGGGGAGGGGTGAATGTGATAAACCTGAAGGTCAAGGTCACGTAATCAGCATCGCAAGCTGCCTTGGGGTCGGCGGTGAAAAATACCTTTGAGACAACCCCGCCGGGAGCCGATCGCTCCGGCTGGCCCCCTCCCCCCCGCAGATGTGTGCTCCCTATCCTGTGATCCGAGTTTTGAGCCGAGGCCTGCTCAGGCCAGAGCTGGATAATTGAGTCTGAAGGGTGCGCCGCCGCAGATCGTTGGAAGCGGGATGCAGCTCGCGTGCATCGGCCGTGACGTTTACATCGTCGGACGCGGGCAAACGACGGGTCCCATTGACAGACACCGCCAGATATATATATGGAATTTTCAGGTCCCATTGCCAAACACAGCCAGATACAGTTCCACTGATTGCTATAGGCAACCCGATATAGGCAGATACAGATCATATTGCCAGACACAGTACATTGGGCTAATGTATGGAGATACGGGACCCATTGCCAGATATCGCCAGACATAATCCCATTGATTTATATCGTACGCAGATACAGGTCCCATTGCCATACATAGCTAGACATAATCCAATTGATTGATATACGTACGCAGATATAGGTCCCATTGCTATACACAGCTTCCACCAAACACAGCCAAACATAGTCCAATTCGCAGATATAGCCAAACATAACATTCACTGCAAGATACATCCTCCACTCCCTCGTCAATGCCCTCTACAGAGTCAGAGCACAAACTGACTGCGCCAAGTGCGGTGTTCTGGGTTAGGCTGCGTGTTCAGCACGGACTTCAGAATCAGAATGTTCATTTATTCTGGAGAAATCCGATTAACTATGAAGCTCTTTTTCCACAGACGACTTATGAGTGGCTGCGGAAATCTTGTTATCATAAATGAAAGCCATCCTACGATTTTAACACTTAAAACAACGGGTCGTTGTGCTTCAACATGTACTATCGGGTACAAAGTATTTGTATGTAGACCTGAGAACAATTAACACGCCAACGATATGCAAGTTCGATGAGCATTTGAAATTGTCTATTTGTAACACAAAGTTAAACTACGAAAAAATATTTTACCAGGTAAGGCCCACTGAGCTATATTAGATATTTTTCAGAATTGACCCGGCCACAATTGATAGGTCTGTAATAAAGGTCGTGGAATCGACTTCTGGAATCCGGTCTTTACTTGTCTTTCTTTTACAACACTCCTTCACGCTGCTGACAGACAGCGTGAGAGGGATAGAGAGAGAGAGACACGCGCGGCCACGTGGCAGCCTGGACCACGTGGCAGCCTGGACCACGTGGCAGCCTGGACCACGTGGCAGCCTGGACCACGTGGCAGCCTGGACCACGTGGCAGCCTGGACCACGTGGCAGCCTGGACCCCGCTCCAGCGTGGCCTCACCCTCCGTTCGTTCCAGATCTGACCACGTGTTGTTCGTCTCCACCCCTTTTTAATACCCGGGTCACGTGGTACCTTTCCACCAATCCTGGTTAACCTCTATGGAATCTTCTAGACTCCATCGTACGCTCCCGGGACCACGCCCCTGACTCGTCCCCCCATTGGCTGTGGCTAAAGCCAGCAGAACCAATCCTCTACTTACAGATGTCACCTTCCCATTACGTCAGGGCCACGCCCCTAGACTTCCCCCCATTGGCTATGGGCCAGGACCGGTAGAGCCAATCATCGTAACGAGGTGTGATCCATCAGCAACCCGGATATATCCTCACATTACAGGTCTATGAAGCGGCTTATCATCGGGGAATTTATAGCAGCCAAATACTCTAATGGCATGTTTCTATACTCTTTGGTTCTTTCGGTAAAGTCACGTAGGTAGAAAAATAAAACAAGATAAAAATAATATATCACGACGGTTCGATCGCAACACAAACGAACCTGGATTCTTTTTTCCAGCAGTTCCACTGCTGGATGATTTTTTCCGCCCGAGGACGGCCGCTTGTGTTGCCATCGAAACATCGTGATATATTATTTTTATTTTGTTTTATTTTTCTACCTACGTGACTTTACCGAAAGAACCAAAGAGTATGGATTCCTGCAGTCACGAAAGCTTCAAATCAAGGCATTTTTCTAAATGTGGAGGGAAAGTCCACGTGACCACGGGGAGAACATTCAAACTCCAAATATACAGCAGCAGGTGTCCGGGTCTGGATCGAACCCACGACCTCCTGCACACAAGGCGAGGGAGTTATCGCAGCACCCAAATTTAATCACCTTATCTTAGACGAACCTTACTTTAATACTTCAGTTCAACAGCACCATTAGTACTGAGTCGAACACGCAGAGATGTTGCAGCTAAAAGTGGCTGCAGTGCGTAGGTTTCTGACGAAGAGCACTTAGCCGGATCGTGTGACCTATTAATTTATTTATTGCAACCCACATTAATTAAAAGGTTTTTTTATATTCTATGGGTCTTTCGGTAAAGCCACGTAGATAGAAAAATAATAAAAGGCGATTGCTTGTGTTGCGATCGAAACGTCGTGATATGTTTTTATTATTTTTCTATCTTACGTGGCTTTACCGAAAGACCCATAGAATATGTACTCCTGCAGTCACGAAAGCTTTAAGTAAGTTTTTTTTAAATGTGTTTTAGGGCAATTAATTTGACTTTTTGTGCCCTGTCAACAAGGAATTAGCTTTAATGAATATGGCCGCAGGAGTACGCAACGAATATTAACGAACGTAATTAATTTAAAACAAACAAAAAAAACACTGTGTTACCTCCCCAAACAAGCACATCGAAAACTTGATTAATTCTCGTGAATGAAAATGGTAAATAGCTGGTTCAGCTAAGTCAATTGATGAGGATGGAACTAATCATAGAGTGGAGTCAGACGAGAAACTATGGCGTTAATTTGACTGTTGATAGGTTCCCAAACTCATTGCTCAGTGAATGTACGTTGAACTTCTTTTGCACCGTACACAGCCAACCGTGCTACTCGGAGGTGCTGGGGAAGGACAACAAACTAAACACAAAAAGTAGTTCGAGAGAAATGAGTTTTCAATCTAGATTTAAAAGTACATAACTCCAGTGGCTTCCTAATTTCGTATGGAAGAGCGTTCCAGACGGCCACAGAAGCGCATCTGAATGAACGCGCGCGATGCGGTGACCGACGTCAATTTGTCGTGCCACTTCTGTGACTGGTGGCAAGCGACGATGCCCGTCACATGACATTGCTCAGAATCAGAGGCTGCTCGCTCCACCGGAGAATCTTTAACGGGTGCGATTCACCTGCTGACAACGCGTGGTTCAGAAACGTGATCGTTAACGCAGACAAAATGTAACGGAGGAATAACAAAGTGCACAGAGGAGCCTGGAGGGACGCACGTGTTTGGAATTACACGGAGACGCTTAAAGAAGAACGCGTGGAGCAGAGGAAACACCCAGACACGGTTGGCTACGTACGGCGCGAAAAGAAGTTCAACATTTTTCCATAATTCAAAACCCCGTTGGGAAAATTAAGTGGGCTTTTTGCGCAGGATCATACCCCGAGAAGAGATGATGGCCGACGGTCAAGAATAATTACGAAGTGGCAGCCAAGGAACGGAACGCGTCCGATAGGAGACGAAGTGTTGAAGTGAGCTCGGGTGCAGGTGCTCGGTGGATGAATACATCGCAGGAACACGAGAGGTGGTGACACCTTGGGGAGGCCTTCGTATTGCAGTGGATTGATGATGTCCCTTTGCACAAACAACTGCTTACGTAGCAGCCAATATAAAAATGGCTCTACTCCAGGCTTATACAACAATGACTGTAGCCGTAGTAGTGAAAAAAATTAACCCGTAAAAACAAAGTTTTTCACTCTAAATCCTTTATATGCGTGGCGGCTAGAGTCCTCTCGTCCTCTGGCTTGAGATGGCTGACACCTATGGGTCAGATGATTGCCTGCCACCATTAAGCAATTGGTAATTAAATATTTAATTGTTTTTCCCTAAACAGTGTAAAATTTTGGAAAAAAAATTTCACGAAAATTTATTGTCACGCACAACGAGTCTGTGTGGAAAATGTCAGCTCGATTGGATCACGGGAAGTGGGTTAAAAAACGACCGAAAGATTTGCACGGTTGTAAGCAAGCAAGCGAACTTAATATAAAGGATTTAAAAATGGCTCTACTCCAGGCTTAAACAACAATGACTGTAGCCGTAGTAGTGAAAAAAGACCGGGAAGCAATTGGATGGTGGGCATGGGTGCACTGGCTGTCACGAGCATGTTGCTCCAATTAAAACTTTGAAAATGGATCCTGCCATAATGTAATGGTGAGCACACTGCACTGGCAACCCAGTGGCTGCCAGTTGGTTCTCCCATGGCGGCAGTTGAAACAATGGTGCAGATTTCTTACATCTCCCCTCCTCTATTCACCCATGTTTTTGTTTTTTGTATGTTGCGGTTGCACCCGATTCAAGAGCCGAATGGCTTACAGGGCTATACCAAATAAATTAAACTGAAAACCCAGCAGTATAAATGAATGGCATGTGGTTGTCCCACCTGATGACGATTGCTTGTGTTGCGATTGAAACGTCGTGATCTATTATTTTTCTACCTACGTGACTTTAGCGAATGAACCAAAGAGTATGGATTCCTGCAGTCACGAAAGCTTCAAATCAAGAATGCTATAGTCAGTTGATCGGCA